GTTTGGGACCAGTGGCGCCCCCCGGAGACGGGGCTGGTACCTCGTGAACAAGGGCAGCAGAAACTACCAGGTAACCCACAGATGAACAAACTGAAATGTTTGACTTCTTTTGGAATATGACAGGGAAATAAAAGCTGTCTGTCGTGTTGCATGAAGTTTCACAGCTTTCTATGCTGCCAGACGCAATTTACACTTGTGAGAGTAGAGAATCATCAGTGGCATCAGCAGTGACTGCTGTGGTGGAAATCCTGCAGCCAGAGATGCTCAGCCTCTTAAAGATGTTTCACACCATCTCGATGTTGAACTGCCAGTGCTGCGAACTTTCTGGCTCCGCCGTTAATCGAAAACATACATGAGGTCAATTAAAAATCCCCCAAAAAGATTTAACTCTTTTCTGCAGACACAAAAATTTTGTAGTTTTGTCCTAAACCTTTTTAGGAACATCAATTTCAAATCTGCTGTAGGGACATTTCATATTCTTTAATCCTAATCTACTAATCCTAACCTACAGAAGCTTGTTTTCAGTCAATAATTGTTCAATATTGAAGAAAAAATTATTCTTGTTTTCCCATTGGTATATTTTTTATTGTTATAAGTGAATTGATCAGTCAACAGACTGTACTTTTTCATCAATATTAAGGAATTATTGACTTAAAATAAGCTTCTATGTCTTGCTGCAAAGTTATTTGTCAGTCAGTTTCGTCTTATTTCAAGAGTACAAAGATATTTGCACTAGAATCTAAACTAATAATACTTGGTAAGAATTTGTGTTTTTGCAGTGTAGGAAGCTCATTAGGTGACGAAAAAGTTAATTACAGTCGCAAAATCAAAGTAGGAAGAGATCATATACAGGTACAGAGCTGAAGAGATTAAAATGATTCAGGTTTTATCTACAATACTGACAGAGAATCTGAAGCGTATGTCACCCCCAACCTCCACCTCCTGTGTGGACAATCACTGGCTGCTGTGTAAATGACCAACCAATGAAATTAAATGTTAACAAAATAGTGTTAGCATAAATTATCAATGTGATTTTTTTTTTTTAAAGACCGGAGTTGTTTTCCGTGGTAGGAGTCTGCTGTGGTTATCAGACGAGCCGCCGGCACCAACCTCTGGGTCCAATTAATCATGATTTATATTCTGTAGAACGAAGATAAGATACTGCAGACGCCTTTTGACCTCATTTCAGAGTTTCTTTTTTTTTTTTTTAACTATCTCTCTAACGACAAATCCTCGTCCTCTAAACGCAGTTTGAAGGCCAACATCTGGACGGCTGTTGAAGACAGAGTCCGACCAACAAAGCAAAACGCATTAAAAGCACGGTCTTGCATTCAAATAACAGCCGTGTGAATGCCTAATGTGACAGGTTACGCAATCTGTTAATCAGCCTGAATGCCAAACAAAGGAAGAAAACAGAAGCGCTGCTGTCAGGCTGAATGAGCAATCACACTTTTCAGCATCTTGTTGATCAGCAGCCGCTCTGCCCTCCTCTGCCGGTACGTCGATTTCCTCCAGTCACGTAATAGTGACCACTCAGTTTCACATGGACTGCATAATGATGCAGTTTGATTAGTTAATCAGTCTTAATACAGTGATGGAGTGAAAAGAGAGGCAGGGCGTCGTTAGCGTTAAATTTGCCACTGTAACCCGCCGCTGCGCAGCACATCCTGTACTGTACTTTGCAGCACATCCTGTACTGTACTGCCTGGTTCTGTTTGAGTTCAGAACCTGGCAGACGTCAGGGTTTTAAGATTTTCTTCTACCAGCGGAGACAAAGAACGACACGACTTGTCAGAAATAACTGACAGGAAAACAAAAACCGTCTGAAACAAAGTACAAAAAACATAAAATCCTACAAAGTATCGTGGATCTGGTTTCTAGCACATAAATCTTAGAACACTTTAAACACACGTGTCAAACTTGAGGCCTGTGGGCCAAATATGGCCCGCCATAGCTTCTTATGTGGCCCTCTAGATTCTAGACTAAACACAAAATGTGATGAATTATTACTTTGTCAATTAAATTAATGCCGTGTTTTTTTTATCTGTTTACTGCCAAATCATATCAATTAGTCTCTCCAATTTCTTGAGAATTATTGTGGAAATTCATGCAAAAAAAAAAAAATCCCCACAAATTTCTTTTTTGTGTGAATAATTGGGAGTTTATTGCAGATTTTGCTCAAAAATTGTCAAAAACTTTCTGACTTGTACTAAACATCTGCCTCAGCCTTGATGTCAGATTACAGACCATGATCTTAACAGTTGTATTTACCGTCATAAATAAGCAGAAATATCGCAAATATTTTCAAATCAATACCACAAACATTTTGACTTTTATATATATAAAAAAAGACAGAATCACAAACTCCTGGAAGGACTGAAAAGATGTTCAATAGTATTATTTAATTTTAAGAATTCATTGACATTTTAACAGTTTGGAAACAGGATTTACTGATAAATTATGGCATAACCGGCCCTTTAAGAGCATTCCCAATCTTGATTTGGGCCAAAACTAAAATGAGTCTGACACACCTGACTTAAAATTAGACAAAATTAACTTGAAGGACATTTTCAGCAAGACATTAGAGCTTGTTTTAGGTCTATATTTCCTTACTCTTTATTTATAAAAAAAAGTTTTAGTTCCACTTGCAGATTATTTCACTTATAACATGGAAAAAATGTCTCAATAGTAAAATAATCTGCCAGTGAAACTAGTACTTTGTCATCAATATTTAAACAAGCTGAACATTTACTTTTAAGTTAGTTTTGTCTTATTTCAGGTGTTCTAAGATTTTTGTTCTAGAACCTGGATCCAAAATACTTAGCAAGAGCTTGTGTTTTTGCAGTGTGTTGAAGTTTTCTGCCTGTAGCAAAAAGCACAATTTGTTAAAAAACATAAAAATAAATAAAAAAAACTCGCCTCCCTACAGACATTTTCAGAGGTAAATCAGGTGTTACTCTAATGTTGTCAGCGTCGAGTGAGAACATTGGAAAATTGAATTACTACATAACCAGCTTATATTGAAACAATCATTCAATCTCCGAATGTGGCAAAACCTCATCAGGATAATTGTCAGTTGTTTGCAAGTCAGAAGGCGACAACGATGAGGCCCAATGAATGTGATTGGGCCCCCAGATTACATATAATCCTATTAGATTTAACCTAAGATCCTTAACAGATTTACACAATTCCTCCCTTATTCGTTTAAGTGTGTGTGAGTCTGTGTGTGTGTGTTTTTGTGTTGCATGAGTAACAATTGGTATGCAATTGGTATGTAAAAAATAAATTCTGAAAGTGGGTCTAAGTGACAAGTGTGTTTTTGTACTTCTTGGTCAAATTTGATGAGAGGAACTGAGTGACATCAAACCATTTTCAAACATTTATATATATATATATATATATATATATATATATATGTATGATTATATACGAGTATATATATATTTGTTTTAAGGCAAGTTATCTGTTTGCACCAAATACAAATCTGAAACAGACTAAACTAAATAAACGATCTCTGGAATTAAACAAGCGAGAAAGAAACTGACGTTACAAACCTAAATACACTGAAAACCTACATCAACTCCTCACAGAATGAAATATGGAGTCGACACTAGCATGGCGTCCATCCATCTGCCTTAAATTAACACGCTTAAAACCAATATGCTTTAAAAATCCTAATCATTTTAACCTTTAACAAAAAAAACAACAACGAACAGAGCTACTAACATTGATTATAACCGAGAGTAAAAATGGTAGAAAGTGTCATTCATCGTTGTTGGAATGTCAAAAAAAAAAAAAAAAAAAATTTAATAAAAGGTAAAACTTGACATAACTGCTTGTGCATCAATGGAAAAGGAACAACCATCTATACTTCTGCTGAAGCAGCATACTTATAATTACGATTATTGTTTATAGAATAAACACCCAATAAACACGTATATCAAGTCTAACGGTTTGGTGCTTTAATTGGACCTTCTGCATTAATTTAATGGGACACTGAGCGGATCATATGGTGTTGGGTGTCCAGAAATATTTCTAAATGGTTAAGTTTGTCTTACTTATAGGCAAAAGCAAAATGGTGGCAGCCTCTGTTCAACCGACTGCAGTGTGCAGTAACAGGTGGGGGAGGGGACAAGCTGCATGTTTCTATGATCCACACCATCAGAGAAAACACATATTACTCTGGAACTTCCTCTGGCATCTTATTGAAAACTTCCTAAACAGAGCGCCAGTGATGCAGCCAAACTTGCAGTACCGTAATTCCGCCACACGTAGCGCTATCTGAAAAATTCCAATGGCTTCTGAAAGGGGAGGCGTTGCGCTTTCCAGCCAATATCGGGTTATTATGATAATTTGTTTTAGTCACAGGACATTTAGAGAACTGCGTAGAATTAAAATATGTAAAAATATCTAGGTGGACATTTTAAATTTAGGACACAAATGGTTTTAAAATGACTGTAAAACCAAATATGACCACAAAAATTTAAAAACTTGATACGGGTAACACCTCATCGCTAGTCCCATCAGATAGCTGAAAGTAATGGTGAAGATATTCCAATAATAACTGTGTATATTGTACCATGTGACTACTTCATAAACTTATTGATAATCAGTCAAAGCCAGGCTCTTCCCATCTACTCTATAAATGATAACTCCCTGATTATTGTTACGGATAGTATCTACCCCTCCAAAGGAAGGCACTAGGAACGGTTTGTGTGTCCTTGGATTTTCATCGGTTCGAATCGACCGGTGGCTGGAGAACAGTATTCCTACAACACAGAGCCGTCTACCTGCCTGAGCAGACTGGAGTCCCTGTGTGTGGCTCGCTGCCCGCTTGTCCTCACCGTCCTTTCTGACTAGAAACTCTGCTGTGCTAGATTCAGACGCCTAAAGTCACTACAGCAGAAACAGGCCAGATGTTGCTCTCTTACCCAGGCAGCTCCTTCCAAAAAGCGCCTGACTTTCTGACTTTTGATTCCAGTTCTGCAGAGTGCGTTGTACTAAAGGTAGAGATATCCGACCCAGTACACAATGTTGAAGAGCAAGAAGGACGTGGGGAAAAACACACGCGAGTACGCGTCCAGTTCCAGTAGGTCTATGTGGACTCTTCCTCTTCTCCAAGCGCCGCCTTTGCATTCTTCAAAGCAGCAGAAGAAGCTCTGGCAGTCTTTCCCGTCCAGACACTCATAGACGCAGGCGTCCTCGAACTCCTGCCAGTACATGGCGTTGTTTAGAGCGATGACGGTGTGCGGAGGAGGTCTCACATCCAGCACAGAGAAGTTCTGAAACACAAGATGTTGTAGATTGAATATTTCAAAGCTAAGTTTGTTTCCTCGTGTTGGAAAAACTCAACGACGACTGTATCAGCTGTACCAGCGTATGCTTTAGTGAGATTTTTATGTTAAGAAATTAAAAAATATTTTAAATGTGCAGAAAAGGGGATGAAAATGTGAAATCAGAGGATATTTAGTTACAGTTAACTTCAGTTTGAAATTGATTTTTGTTACCAGCGTCATTTATTCATTCACTGCAGAGTCCTTTGGGGATTCTGCAGTGAATCCCCAAAGGATGAGTCCTTCCAGTCCGGATCCTGACACACAAGATGATGAATCACTCCACGCACTAATGGCATGAAGTGGTTCAGCGTAGACTTTGTGTCTCCTAAGTGTTCCTTGTTGTAGAAATGGGGCTGTCTGGGTGGATGACGGAGTAACTTGTGTCGTGTGATGTTACGAGTGGAAGAAGTCTGTGAGGTAAAATGTAAATGTCTAAATGAAATTTACGTTCTACTGGAAATATAGATCCGTGTTCTCCTTTGTTGTAAGATGTTCTCATCTTTGCAGAAATATAGAGTTTAAACCAGACAAATTTGCTCCAAATGAATTGAGCTTAATGACGTGACAAATGATTACTTGTTACATTAAATTATAAACCCAAGACTTGCCGTTGATACAGAAACGAATGTTGGATGTTTCTGTTTCAACTTTAGATATCACTTTACTTTCTACATCAATTTATCCAGTCGGTGAATTCATCATATTTTGTTGAAATCCGTTTTGACTTTGACAGTTTTACGCCTTTCCCCGACGGTTTTGTTGAGGTCAACTCAACAGGTCAAACAGAGCGAATTTGAAGGATTGAATCAAACTCTGCACCCACACCAATCTCCAGAAAACCAACTAAACCAATGGAAAAAAGAATGAGGAAAGCATATTTTTCTTTTTAGCTTCTGTATTAAAGGGGGTTTTAGATAAAAGCCAAATTTTGTTGATTGATTTTCAAAGCAATGCAATGGCAGCACATCCCAGGGGGTCACTACTTTTTATAGACACTATAGATCTTTGATAGAATTAAATAAATAAATTTATGTTGCGGCTAGGTGGCTTTGCTAACATTTGGGCCTTGAGGTATGCTGTAGTTCTTCCATATTATATATAAAATCCCACTGAGTCAAATTACGTGGCTTCAGTCCTAGTTGGAAACCGTAGAATAAAAACTCGACTGACACACATGAAGAATCTCACTCAGGCCAAACGCACCAGCCTTTTAGGCTCCATGTAGCTCGGCCTCTGAATGCTGTATGAGTAGTAATTTAACGTTGCGTACTCCATCAAGGCAGCAAAGACAAACAGGAAGCAAACGGTGACGAAAAGGTCCATGGCGGTGACGTAAGACACTCTGGGCAACGACGTCCTGGCCACGCTGCTCAGAGTGGTCATGGTGAGGACTGTGGTGATCCCTGCAACAGCAAAAAGGGGGGGAAAAATGCATTCAGTTGGAGCAAAGATAACGTTTTTTTTTTAATTTAACAAAATCACAGTCCAAAGAGTCGAGTACTTTTTAAATGTACACTGTTTCAGGTGGATCTGAGTTTCGGTTCTGATTAACGAGCTGAAAACTTAATAAAACTCGATGAGTTCGTATCGACGCACTTAATGAGCACATCTTTCGGTTTCTTATACTCCAGTTTTTTCCCTTCATGAGTTTTAACGCCGGTCAGGTTTCATTGACGTTCCCATGGTAACCAGCTGGCATCTCACACTTTTCCTTCATCCCTGGGCTGCCGTGGTGATTGCCCTCATCCTCCTCTGGCAAACATCTGAAGGTGTTGCCATAGCAGCAGGTAAACACCTGCGGAGCATCCATGTTGAGGAAATGAAGTTTGTTGGCTTTGGTCATTTTATGCATTCATTAACTTCTCCTGCATCGTTGGTGAACATCCTTTAAAGAGATTATATTTTTTTTTCACCTACAATCAAGACTGTCAGAAGAGTTGTGATAAAAACTAAATATGACATCGATTCAACAGTTCAGCTGGATTCAGACTCAATATCAGCAGCCACAACTTAAACCTTGAGTCAGTCTCAAATGCGAGATATTGGTGGCCAACATTGTGATTAGTTTGAATTTTTCTTATTTCTGTGGCGCAGAGAATCGAAACAAATTGTGAAGGAATTTTCCTTCTCTCTAATTTACAGCAGCGCTTCAGTTTAAACGGCTTCAATGTTTCAATCAGCAGTTAGAGGTCTGGACTTTGACTGGGTCAGGACAACGCTTCTATTTTTTAGTTATTCAGGCACTGAGCGCACCGGAGACCGCTCCAGAAGCAGGAAGCGGACTGCAGCGCAGGGCATTCTGGGTAGATGTAACCAAAACAAATGCTAAGAGTAAACATTAAATAAACATTAAAACCTGAGCCCGCTCACTTTAAGGCTATAATTTGTGTAGAAGGAAGTTGAACTCGTGTCTTCTTCAGAGGTTTCTGTGTCGTTACAATCAGGCGTCCTTGTTGCAGCGCCACCACAGGCGAGGAGATGGAACAGGTTTCTCAATTTCTTTAGGTCATTTCACACAGCGCAGTGTGAAAACGAAACGCAGCAGACGGAAATGTAGCAAATGTTGAAACTTTGGTCCCCAACTGAAATGAATTGACTAGAATATCAGGTGTGAAAACGCCATAAGATGCAACTTCTCACACCTGAGCTGTGATGCCACAATTGAGATTTTCTCCTGGAAACTCTTCTAAGCAAGCCGTGATATTTCAGTCTTTATCTGATGTAGACGTCAGGAACCGAAATGTTTATCATGCAAACTAAGTCCTATAACGTCAGAGATGGAGCTCTTCCATCTACAACCTCCAGACGTACGCAGTCTGATCTGCGGGGAATTTACCAAAAAGATTGCCAGCCGGCTATCTTAAATGTTTTCCACTTAAATATTTCCTCAGCGTCCAACGATAGTCATCAAATAGATTGGAGAATGTCTTCTGACCCTTCCAGGATTGATGGGCAGCAACAATTTCATCTCCAAGCCGTTTTGCTAATGTTTTTCCTGCTGGCATTTTGTCAGCACACACCTGTGCGCTGCAGAAACTCCTGCTGGTATGGAGACGGTCACACTTGCTGATGATTATTTAATTGAGTGCATTCAATTAGCAGCACCTGGATGCTGATTTGTCTCTTACATCCCAGGATGTCACCCAGGTTCCCCCTTCGGTTTTCCCCAGTTTTTCCAGTGTGATAGTGACACAACACAGACGCTGGTATGGCGCAAATGACAGAGATCAAATTCAATTCAAATTCAAAAATACTTTAATGACCCAAACGGGACCTAAATGTCGTTGGAGCTCGTATTAATTCAAATCCTTCAAAGCGTTTTTGCAGATGGTGGCAGGACAGATCTCTTGTATTGCAGTGGATAAATAAACACGATCACACGCTCACTCATCTGTTGGAAACGCACTGAAAAAAGCAAACGGACGATCCAACTTAAAAAAATAATGTTAACTGTCACAAGTAATCAAATTAAACTGTACATTTATTATGTTGGTTAGGCTGTTATGTTGAACAAAGGCAGATAAAGTAACTTTGACAAAGTTACTTTGATTTTCTGTCAGAAATGAACATAATTATATTAAAAGTTGGAGCTCTGTTCTCTTTCTCAGTGCAGTTGTAGATGAGCGTAGGAATTAATTATATGCTAATAAAGTCAATGGTGAGAAAAAGTCAAATCATTTACCTTTATAAATGCCAGTGGTCTGCACAACAACAGAAAGGACATGCACAAAAATAAAAAAGACGGCAGCAGCGCTGGTGAACATGGAAAAAACTAATTAATTGGCAAAGAAAAAGTGATATCAGATGATGAGTAAAATGTAAATCAACAAAACGTAGAAACTTTGCAATTTTGCTCTGAAATGTAAATGACCTAGAGCTGTTCTGGCCGGAGTGGCGTCCTTTTTGATCCAGAAGGAAACCCAGGAGAGAACCACGGTGAGAATGCAGGGGATGTAGGTCTGGATGGTGAAGTAGCCCATCCTTCTGCTCAGGTCAAAGTACACCGTCATCACCACGTAGTCACCTGAGGTTACAAATGTTACAGCACTTACCAAATACTTGTAAAAAAGAGCAAATTACACAGCAGAAAGTCGAGCAGCAGAGTTGAGAATGTGAGTCGCACCTGGAAAACCAAATCTGTTTGTGTCAATCTAAACCATTTATATGAACCTGCTGCTGCTGCTGCTGCAAAAACAGCAAACCGCCACAGAGCAGATTGGTGCCTCCATATGCGCAACTTTTTCAGATTTTTTTTTTCTGCACGGAAACCAAAACATACACTAAAAAAAGTGGGACAGATGTATGACAGTAAATGTGTGGTGAGAAGGTTTTGGTTCAGAGTTTTACAGAACCGTCCTTTAAACCTCTAAACTGTTAAGAAATGGATTCAGAGGGAAAGATTTGTTTTAAGATTTGTGTGAAAAAAGGATGAGAGGAAATTGCAGAGTCTGAACACATATGTCTAGTAATAGATGATTCTATCTTAGCATGCTTAAAAAACTCATCACTGTGTCTTTACTAAAGTCTTATTTGCATTGTCTGTTATTTCTTCTCAAGTCTTATCTACATAATTTTTCTACCTTGTCTTTTTGCCAACAACATAAACAATACTGTACAATGGAAAGTCAAACAGTAACTAAAAGCTCATCCTGATTCCTGTCATTCAGGGTCAGACAGAAATAAACTTGATGTAAATTCTGCTTTCTAATTTAGTTAGATTTAGTTTAATTTACTTTAAAGTATTTACACATTAGTGTTTTTCTACTAAGAAAACAGTGAATTATCTGCAGTGTTGGATTAAATGTAAAGCTCAGAATAAACTTGTTTCATTCTCGTCTCTTCAAAACCCAGAAGAGAAATTCAGCTGCAACTTAAAGGTTTTATAGTCCAGCAACCTTAGACACCAATTCTTTTTTTTTTGTAACAAATGTGAATATTGTGCAAAAAATATGAAATGAAGCTCTTTTTACTTTATTTGACATGTAGTTCTGAAAGTGACTCATTTATGCTAATCTCATCTCCTTCATATTTTTGGCTTACATGAACCCATTTATGGTTCTCCTCATAAATCTTGACGTTTTGTTGTTCAGATGGAACCGTCTCACACATGTCCACACTGATCGGCAAAACGTCTCCGGGTCGTAAGCGCCAGACTTTACCCGCCGTCGTCTTTATGACGTCCGTTGTGTTTCTGAGGCCCATGAAGTCGAACTGGTACAGACGCCAGGACTTCTGGTCGGCCGCCTCCACCGAGTTCTTCCTCCACTTGTAGATCATCTCGTCTTGCGAGTATCCGTCTAGAAATACACAGAGCGTGTGTGTTTGCCACACATCCTAATGATTGATTCCCCACAAACACACACACACACGCACAGAACTGGGGTCACCCAGAGCTACATTTGTCTTGAGTTGGAGGCCGGCTTAATGAAAAGTCCAGTCGGTCTCACTGTGGGGCTCAAACTTCACACGACGTGAACCGTGTGAAGTTTGAGCCTTTGGAGGGTTTTCATTATCAGTCATTGCAGGTTAATGTTTGGGGTTTCTTTGCCAAACTCCAACTGGAGATGTTATCATCTCCAGCAGAAACACTGACTGAATTATAATCCTGCTTGATAGTGATTTAACATAATCAATTTCAAATAAACTGTGAATTGTTGGGAAATTGTTCCTCCAATCCATCGCAATTCATCAACTAATCCCCATTTAACGCGACCTATTTCATTAAATCAAACATAACCTCGTCGCTACACTCACTGCATGATTGGTTTGGATATTCAGCAGATGATAATGATCAGTTCATGAGAATACTCCTGATTTATAGGTGAAAAAAATTCAGACGGCATAATCATCAGGACCAAACGTCACGTCTTGTTTGATTGAACCTCTGTGGAATCAGAGAGTTGACTAGACGATCACAGTCCCTAAAACACACACTCCGCTCTCCACCGGCACTAAAAAGGTATACACACAGCTGTTCAAAATTACAGGCTATCAAGAAAAATGAAATGTTCACCTGCATATATTATTTCAAAGTCTTTTCCTCCAGTAATGCTGGATTTATCTGAAACTGAACAAAAACTACAACAAAAAAGATGGGAGAAACCTAAAAGAAGAAAATAAAATCACCGGTTTGATAAAATGTGCACAAATGAACTCTTTGAACACCCAGATTCATTCTTAATCAGCTTTAACCTGCCATCTATTATACTGGATCCAGTTCATTTGTCACAGAGTTCAGTTGCATCCTTTTGCTGAGACCATGGCTCGTGGTGCGTTCACACCAAACGCATTCTGAGCGTCTGGTTTATGTTCAGTCTACATTTAGGTGCCTCGAGATTTGAACTGTTTGGAGCGTTTGAAGCGTCGAGCGGAAAACAACGGCTCGAGCTGATGCGCCTTCGCATAGACTTGGAACGCAAACCAGACGCGCAAAACACCGGCTGCGGGAAAAAGAGGTGAAGCTTCTGCACTTAAAGTTCACACCTGTCGAGCCTGAAGCGTCGGGCGCGTTTGGTGTGAACGCACTATTACAGTGAGGTTACACAGAATCAACAATGATCTCATATTAAAAAAATAAATCAAATAAAAAGATCAAATTGGAGGAAATTGGGACAATAGTGACATTTCAAAGAACCACAACCTGACAACATCAAGTAAACAAAAAGACCTGAAATCTTTCACCAATCTAAAGAAACTCAAGAACAGATGGGAAACAAAGTCACTGACATCTACCAGCTTTGACAGTCAAAACTCCCATTTCAGGCTCAATTCAAGAGTTTTATCCCTTTAAAAATCTGTCAAAAATACACAACTGATACATCTGTAAACCATTTATTTTCAATAGTAAAGAATTAGTTGAGATTAGGCATCAATTCATAAAACCTGGATGTCGAGTTGCCTTTGCCTTAGATGCGATTTTTAAACGCATCTTCATCTCTTTTGTCTCCAGACATTAGCATGAAGTATCTGACTGTTCCAGAGCCCAACAGGTACGGCGGCTCCGTAAATAAATGAAACTTTTTCCAAATGAGTAGAGCGACATCGCCATGGAAACATGCGGACTGATCCTCGGGTGAGGAAATGCGTCTAATGGATCTCAGCGGGATGTTTCCACAGACGAGGCCGTCCAGCAGGCAGGTTGTAAGCTCTGATAGGCTGCATGGGGCGCAATCACACCGAATGGCTCTCCGAAGCCACAAGATGACACATTATCCACACGTCACGCCTCACTTTCGGCCTCGCGCTCCTTTCTTCAAAGCAGCGCTGAGATCGCCGTCAGATGGACGGGAGAGCCTTTCATGAGCTGAGCAGCCAAACACAGGAAGTGACCAATCGTGTCACAGAAGGCGCCGGCGGTGGACGGACAATGACTGACAATCTAAGGACACCGCATCGAAGTCTGTGTTTTTAAGACACATTTAAAAGTGGATATTTGATTGTCCACATAGTAGGTGATATAAAAAAATAAATAAATACTGAAGAGAATTTGTTTTAATTACTGTTTTTATTCTTATAAGAAAAAAATTTAATCTTCAGACAAAAGAGAAAAAGATGCAAAAAAATTAAATTCCAAGTCTCTCTGTCCTAGCAAGTTCAGACTGAAAGCAAAAAAAACAAGATGGTGAAAAACAAAACCCGGAAATGTCCACATGGGACATTGTGGGCAGTTCTTGCTGTTTGTTTTTTAGAAATGATTTCTGAGTCTAACAAATATGCACATGTTCATTCATGAGGATGATGATAATAATGATATTCAGACTGGTAGCAGCAACTGATGCTGGAATCAAATCCAACTTTCTAACGCAAAGATTACTGAGGCTGTGTTCACACTGCAGCCTGAAGTGAGCCAATTCAGATTGTTTTTGCTGTAATGTGACCTGTAGCTGATCTTTTAATGACTGTCTGAACAGCACAGGTCGGATTCTTTTCTAATGCGACCCGGGCCACTTGCATATCTGCCAAGTATCCGATTCAAATGCGACCGAACGTAAAGGTGGGATGAATGCAGTACTCAACAAAAATGTCACTATTCTGCCTCCTGATAGTGGGAAGAAAAACAACAACCTTGACAGGCTATCATGGGGATTAAGTTGTTGATATTCTGCTCCGGTCAACAACAAACTTTAAAAGTGTGCGCTATTCTCCACCATTAGCATCCTTGCTTACTTCCACAGACGCTGATCACTTCTTCCTTTCATGGTTCAGCTTCTTGTCTGATGTGTTTTAATAAAAGTATAAACAAAACCCACAGATAGGAGTTTACATGAACTCCCCATAGAGCATGAATATTATTTATTTTACCCTTCTCTCTGGGTTGTAATGATTTATTGAATTGTTTTTTTCTGGGTGACAGGACTTCAATTAATTCTAAAAACAAGAATTCAGCAAATAACTGAATACATTGTAGATTGTCTGAAGTGGGTCAAAATTCAACATATGGGCTTGACATAATCCAATATTTGAATGATTGTTTCTTACTGAGCTGCAGCTGAACTACTTTTTGCAGCCATCAAGGCATAATCCTGGCTGATATTTAACCGGCCTTTGTGTCCAAAATGGTTCATTTTAAATTGGTTGGTTTCCTGCCACATATTTGGCTTTTCATCATGACCCATAAATTTTGAAAAAGGAGTTGAAAAGGCAATTCCAGAATTTTAATGTAATCCTGCTTTATTCATTACAAACTCAGGGAAGCAGCCAAATGAGATGAACTCTACCAATTCTGATTATAGGAGTGAAAAAAAGTAAATTATGCATATGTATCCACATCTGGCCAAAATGATGCAAACACAGAATAAAATCAATCGAACCTCCAATTCAATCCCGCTTTTAAAAACCGTTAAAGTTGCTTGTTGTATTATTGTTCTACCTCCCAAAAAATAATAGATTTTAAAATTAACAACTCAAAACGTGCTGCCAGAGAAATGGCATTTATACTCTGTAGCTTTGCACAGAGTATAAATGCACATTGCAGCAGGTACTAATATACTTCAGTTATTCTGAATCTAAATCCACTTTGTGTTTAGTTCAATACATATTCACTTTAAGGTTATAGATAAGCAAATGCTATATATGTTATCCGAGCATTCATAAAGTCTTCCAGTTTCGGCTTGCAGATAAAGCACCTCCTGTGCTGCTTTTGACAAATGAACAGTAGTCGCTGGGCGCGGTGCGTGAATCTCCACAGTGGCTGGCAGCACAGTGATCCATCTTATTCTGCCAGGTGAGTGAAGGCATCTGTTCTCTGGAAGATTTAAAGGGGCGGTGTTATGTCTTTTCCAGGCACACAGTGCCAATTTATAGGAAAAATAGCCACTGTTGATTTCAGTGGCTATAAAAATGCTATATACTGTATATATCGAATACGACTTAAAAGAAAATTGACTATGCAATTTAATGGCTTGAAATTGGGGCTCTGTCTCTTTAAAACCTCCTGCTCTTTCTGAAACTCCACCTTGTGGAAGTCATAACGATATGACTCCTCTGTTAAACCTTTAATAACGTTTATTGACAGCATTTCTCCGAGAAGTAACCCCTGTAATGAGCTCAGCAGATGCTCAGTTAAAGCAGGTCTTTGCTAATTGCTGCTGGCTAGTCTGAAGGAGCTGAGTGCGGGCTGCTCTGTGAGGCAAAAGCTCAATAGATGGGAAACGGCAGCTCCGAGGGCGAGTTTCGTCTTGAAAGCGGCACTAGGTCCCACCAGGCGTTTTGTACAGCTGAATGATTGCCAGGGTAGATTTCTCAAACATGCACAAAATAATGAAGGCAACACTCCTGGCGTGTTTTTGATGAGGGAATGAGCTGAAGTATAACACACAGATTGGTTTTAAAGTCCTTGCAGCTGTAAGTAAACATTAAGACCGCGAGGATTTATCGAAGCGTCACCTAACGAGGTTTACTCACAGCTGGAGAAGATGAGCGGACACGAGTGTTCATCCATTGGAAAGTTGTGTAGCTGCAGCTGGCACTCAGCATTTATAGTTAACCTGAAAAAAAAAAAACAATAGGGAAAACTGAACCTCAGTTCATTAGAAACTTTTCTTAATAACAGCATAAATAATGTCGGCACACAGTTGACTGTCACTTTCGATGCTCTCCAGTTATTTTTGTGACATTTTCGTGCTGCAGAGAGTTCACCCGTCTCCTCCGGCCGACGTTTGGTGAAGTGTTTTCGCTTTTCCCACAACTCTGAGTCCAGCAGCCTGAGTGTAGTGCAGCAGGAAACATGCAGAGGTCCGTCAGGAGCCCTGCTCACTTTTTATACAGCGAGCACAAGAAAACAAAAGACAGAAAAGACAAGCGATGCACAGTAGCTTGTGGTATATGTTTTGAAGTGTCAAATGTCTTTTGAAAGTGAAAAATTTCCCCCAAAAAACAAAAAAGGCAAAAAAGATTCAGCAAAAGAAAAAAAATGGGTCCCTTGGTGGCCATTTAAGTCCATATTTATCTATTTTGCAATTTCTACGGAAAAAACTTTGTAACGCCAATCAAATAACCTTGATTGAAAGACATTTTTCTCTGTCATTCATATTCCCTTAATTATGGGTTACAAACAAATAACAAAATAAAACACTGGACAATAACAATTATGGAAAACAATTTATGACAAAATGATAAAAACTGAGAATGCGTGGTGGCAATGAAGTGCAAACAGTCATTGGCACGATTTACTTCTAAAACAGACAGAAAATATCAGACATTATTGTCTAAAAACACAGTTTGTGGCATAAAGTAACATAAAGCTAGCACGCTACTGACCTTCGATTACACTGGTCGGCAGCCAAAAAATTTTCTGTCAACTGTTTTAGGGTCATTTTGATGAGCTGAGTTCAAACGTCACTTTGGTTTTACTCAATCAGGTCGACTTTCTGAGCTACGGAGCAACATGAGCGTCAAAATGCACGACTGGTTCTCACAACTGGATCGGTTTGCTGAGGATCAATGAGTGGTGAGCAGGAGGAGAGACTCCATCAGGACAGAAAAGAGACGGAGAAATTTACACAATGAAGACGTAATGTTCAATACACATTTACTACTTACCCTTGAATAATATCAGTGGTTATTATTCAATTTACAGAAATCCAAGTTTGTAATATTTAAATACACTGTTAGAAAACTTTTTTTTCTCCTAAAACCTTTTTTTGGATGAGAAATATTAACAGAGATGAACTGATAATGTCATGAAAATGTGACCAATTTGATCAGAAGATCAGATTTCCCGAAATAATGTGTGGCTGCACTCAGTCCGGATCGTCTGGACCTCCTTATGATCATGATAGCAGCCTGCCTCCTCTTTCACATCAAACAGAACCAGAATCAGCCAAGACAGCATGAAAGGAAGTAAGTAGATTCTCAAGTATGAGGTGTGTTTCCCTGATGTGGCTTTCTCCACTTTGTTAGAAAGGATGCAGGATAAAAGCAGCAAATGTAAAGTTAATGGAAGGACACATTGGAGTGAGGAGAGGAGGTAGGAGCTGTATAAAATATGTTTCTTCTTCTACTTTTGTTTCTACGCCACAGCGAATCATCCGTCTCTATTTTGTCCCATCCTCTGCATCCTTTACTCTCACACCATCTACCTTTATCTTGTCTTTCACTACATCCGTAAATCTCCTCTTGACCTTCTGCCGTGTGGCTCCAACCTCAGCATCCTTCTACTGATGTAAACACAGTCTGTCCTCTGAACATGCCCAAATCGTCTCACTCTGGCCTAGAGGACTTTATCTCCAAAACATTGGACATAAAAACATTAGAGAAGGATCCTATTATGTTAGCAAAATCCTCCCTTTCAAAGAATAAATGTGTTAAATGTGTTCTCAGATCAATCAGGCTGAGGATGGATTCAGTTAGAATCAAAATACGTAAATGACAATAAATTATCTGCTGGTGTTGGATCAACGTTCCGGACCTCTCAGGTCTCCTGGTTCTGGTTCTTCATCCACAGAACCAGAGACAAACATGGAGAAGCAGCATTCAGCTTCTATGCACCACAGATCTGGAGCAAACTTCCAGAAAACTGCAAAACTGACCGGAAGGAGCGTCGACTACGCAGACGAATTTGCAGTACCGTCATTCCGCCACACGATGCGCTGTCTGGAAAATTCCAACGGTTTCTGAAAGGAGAGCCTTTGCGCTCGGGTTAGTACAGGAAAATCCCTCCCGCTGTTGCGGGAAGTGAAATTAATTTGATGGTCACTCTTTTAAGAGACTGTAAATTGCGAGAATAACTGTCTGGATATTGAAAGTTCCAGTTGACATGGACAAATGGACAAATTTATTTACTCACAGGACATTTAAAGAACCGCATGCAATTAAAAATAACTAAAAATATCCAATAACTACTTATTTTACCTTAGGATTGTTTAAATTTGTCTTTCAAGTTGCATGGACAAAATTTCTGATCAGACGAATTTATTGAACATCACATTGAATTCTGCTCAGAAACATTTAGTGTGAACATTTATTAAAATAAACATTTTCTTAATAACACCAGTCAGATCATTATAACGAGCTTCCATCTCAAGATACGGATATGTTGGAAAACACAAAATCCAGGTCAAGCACAAACTATCAAGCAGGTGGGCAGTGAACACAAATTCATGCCTGGAGTAGAAACCTCTCTCTCCCCCTCATGTCTTGTCCAGAGTTAGCCGTGCCAAAGTTTTCGACAGAGACGCAAACAACCAGGAGCAAACATTCCTCGTAGAAGTCTTCCTCATCCTGACAGCAGGAGGTTTACCTTGAGGACAACTACGAGGTAAGCAGCCAAGTCAACAGCAGAATATCTCCTCGTCAAACGCCGAGACTGAGATCCATTAAAGCTCAGATGCTTTAAGTCCCGTCTGACGATTTGACGACAGACGGGACGTCAAGTCTGTTTTTGATGGCTGGAGCATCAAGACAGACCTGCATCAAGGTTTCCCCAATGCCACTCAAAGCTTTACCTGCTGCCAAAGGTGCTTGAGTCACTCACCAGTTCGAATTGGTCCGTCCGTCTCCACGAAAATCGCAATCAATTATTAAATGTTCAGAAAAGCATTATGAGCACTAAAGTTCAGTTTCAGACTCAAGAGTTTGATTTCAGCAATCATTTTCTTTCCGTATCACACAGCAATATTTGTTGGTTTTCTTTCGGCCAGATCGGGGTCGTTACCTTAAGGTGTAAAGTATTTTTCCGTCGTTCCATATCCTGAGCAGCTGGTTTGGCATCGTGATCCAATGGGAGTCTGCGGTCTTGGAGTTTCTAAAGATGGTGTCCGGCAGCCAAATGAGTCCAACCATGTTGCTGTTCAAGGTCAGTATTTTCATTGTGCTGTTGTATCTGAGGCGGGTGTCTGTCCACGTCTGGGCGAAGATGATGTCAATTTGGTACTCCTGTCAAAATAAAAGAAGAGGAAAGGAGCACATAAAATCTATTCTTTCATTGAAAATCTTCTTAAATGTGTTGTCTTAGCGACACAGAACGCAATGTTGCAATATTGTGTGTTTGAGAAATATTTCTCATTCACGGCTGTGACTGGTCAAAGTGTTTGTCTTTTTCCTTGTTGGTTGCTCTTTCTGTCAACTCATTTGTTTCTATGCTAAGTGTAGTCGCTCCAGGTCCAGAGATCTCCTCAGTCCCTGTTTGTTTGTTTGTTGCTTTTTTGCTGACAGAAATGATAAAAGGCTGAACAACAAAGAAAGTAAAATGTGAGAGACACGCCACAATTAATCATTCATGCTAGATTTGCCTGTTAGCCCAGGAGACTGTAAGAAGAGTGCATCAGATGGATGATGATTGATGCTACCCAGAGACTCGCAAAGGTATTCATAACTCTTGAACTTTGTTTCTCTACAACAACAAACTTCAATGTGCTTTGCTGGGATTGTATTTGACAGAACAACACAAAATAGTGGCTTAGAAAACAATTTGAGAAGTACGGCGTTTGTATCCAGACCCCAGAGTCAAAAGTTTTCTGGAGATACAATTTCACTGTAAGACCCTTCAGGTAAATCATCGCTGATTTTGTTCAGCTGGAGACAGAAAATGTTGCCTGTTTGTTTTTTTCCTTTAAAACTCGGTCAGATTGGATGGAGCAACCCCGTGAATGCACATTTTTTGTGCCAACATATGAATATGTTCGATTCTGAACGACTTGCATCCATCATCATATCGACTTCCACCAACTTCCCCATCCCCAAGAAGAGTGTCTGCAATCACCAGGCTTCATTCTCATTAGGGTTTCTTTAAGGTGATAATTATTTATTTTTTCTTAAATCAAAAACAAGGTGAAGAAGAGATTTAAAAAAAAAAAAGATAGAAACAAGTTGTATGTTTACAACTTGTTTCTATCTTTGGTATCTGTGGTATTCTATCTAGCAGAATACCACAGCTCGCTAGCCGCCGGCTGCTAATGACACAAAAGATTTGCATCTTCCCCGTAACTTTCAGCTTAAAACACAACTTTTTTTTCACTCTTTTTGAGGCATTTGATCATTTAAAGAAACTTAAGAAATTACCTTTTCTTGTCTTATGAATATAATCTATGAGAATGATGAGGAAACATGTCTTTGATCGTTCTACACTGAGCAGATATTCTTAGCTTGCTGCATCGTTGCATCCCTAGTAAATATACATTTGTGCATTCACCTGTATTTTCATAACTTTAAACACGATTTGACTTCATTGGGATCCAACAACATGGATGTAAGTCCAATAGTTCATGGTATATTACTGGGCTAAGTGGAGCAAATTGGAGCAGCTGCTAGCCGTGGCAGAAAAACACCCAACGGTCGAGTCGCTTGGGTCATTTCTGGCAACAATTCGCAGAAGGATGTGCAGCATAATTAAAATAATGATATCTTCCCCTCTCATTCCCACCCACGCATTTGAATTCAGTTGCCGCCGCCTGAAATGTTTTGACCTTATGCTCATTCTGCACTGTGGCTGGAACAGCTCACCAATTAGAATAAAGTCCACATTCACAGAGCCCAGCGCGCGGGTCATGACCTTTAATTGTTTCGCACTTAGGGAGGGAAAAAATGTAAGAATTTCATGGTTGTGCTTTTTATCTCTAAACTCATTTAAAAATAATTTGAGGTGACTGGATCGACTCTGACAAGTAAACCTCATCTAAGACCTTTGTTTTTTTCGTCTTTTTTTTTTTTCGCAAAGGTGCTTAATTAATTTCACATTAGAAGGTGTTTTCATTCTAATGAAGCATTATGATCCTTCACTGAGGCATTGCTGTAAATAATTTCAACTGTTCACTTTCAATTGTGATGGGGAATGTTTCTGTAAAAGTCTGCTGATGTAGAGGTTCTGCTAAACCAAAAGATCCTGCTGTGAATTATAAAAGGACACATGATTTAAAGAAAATGACTCTGATTTATGCTAACAAACGCGACAGTAAAGAAAAAAAAAGGAGATAATTGACCCAAATAAGAGAGATGAATTATTTTTGACTGTCTTAAAAAAAAAACAAAGCTATTGTTAAACATTAAACACACTTAAAAGTCTCAGATCAAACGAATGTTAATGTCAGATATCCAGAGATTTTAAATGATCATTTACCGAGGGGGAAATAGCTACTAAAACCAATTTGACCCAATATGTGAAACACCCTCTGTAACAAATTATGTAATAAATCTGATTAATCAAGTTTTACTGGTGATTAAATTCCACCAGTAAAGCATCAGCCCTAATTACTTTCACACCTCTGAAGTCAGAAAATCATTTAAATAGGACCTGTGGGACAACACGAAGTAGGCTAAAGTCTCTCAAAATTATTCAAAGAAATTCAAGAGGACCTGGGCAGTGAAGTCATTGACATCTGCTGGTCTTAAACAGATTACAAAACCACTTCTAAAGCTTTGAGGCTCCACAGCGAGAGCCGTTATCTGCAACTGGAGAAAACATGGAGCAGCGGAGAGCCTCCCATGAGTGACTGATCTACCAGAAATACTTCTAGAGCACATCAACGACTCAACCAGGGGGCCACAAAAACAAAAAAAGAAACATCATCTAAAGCACAGCAGGCCTCACTTAGCTCAAAGTCAGACTTTATGATTCAATAATAGGAAAGAGAGATTGAGCAAAAAATGGCATCAATGGAAGAATAGTAAGAAACCCCCCGCTAGTAATCAAACAGGACTCAACATCTTGTCTCACGTTTGCTATAAAACATCCTGATGACTCCCAAGACCATCAAGATGTTTTACAGCAAGAGCATAATCTGGAGCTGTTTGGATAAAAAAAAATTCTTTAAAGAGGCTGGAAAGAATCAATTGTGTACATAAGTGAACCAAATACAATATAAAAGACTCATTGAATGTTATTGAAAGCGATTGATGACAGCTGCTGTTCCTAAGGGCGGCAAAAGTAGCTATAGGTTTACGAGGTCTTTACATTTTAACACGGGGTCGGATTGGCTTGGATGGATTTTTCTCCCCCTAAATAAATTAAATTATAATCATATATACATAAAAACATGATATATGTTTCTAGGATTGAATGCATTTTCAGTCTGATTGCGCTGTGCTTACATTTATTTCTCAAACAGCTGACATGAACGAAGCTTTACCACATCGACTTCTAGCATGTAGCAACATCAAGATCGATCAATCAATCACTCAAATCAAATCAAATCAAATCAAGTTAAAATGGCCGCCCGCATTGCAACAATGCTCTCTATTGATGATCACAATTTTTTATCTTCTAAAGCTTAACAAAAACAACAAGTCAGACTTTTGTATTGATATGAAAAATTTGGGTGTTTACATAGCGCCCTATAGAGACAGAACGTTAAAACTCAATCTGTTGCTTCCTCTTTCGCTGCCTTAATTTTCTGTTGATTCTCTACTGACTGAGCTTATAAAAATCACGTAGCTAAGGTAAAGTATGTAAATCTATCATTTCCTCCTGTCAGCCTGGCTGCTAAGTGGAGTCACAGTTAGAAGATTTAAGCTAATGGGGACATATGTCTGCCGTTGCAGCTGGAATCATGTGGCCAGATGGGAGTATCAATCATGAGAGAAAATCTGCTGCTCATGGCTTAATGTCGACTTTGATGCAAGACGAATTTTTCTGCAACAGTTTCATCCGTTGCTTAAAACGAGCAGAAGATGGATTAAAAAAAAAAGATGGCTGGAAGACGCAGTCAAGTTGTGGAACAGTCTGGGGGGAAACCGTCCAGACGGAGGACGCTGCTGCTGGGGGGGCAACTGGGAAATTCAGGAGACATGGAATCTGTTGACAGACTGGTCCACTAATACAAGTAACTCCCCATTAAGGACATTTCAGATTTAAAAAGATAAATGGTCTCACTATACCCTGGTTCTGATCGCCTTTCATCCTCATCACAACCTCCCAATTTATGACAGAAGTAGACAGTATTGTGTGTTTTTCCAGCCACATGATGCCATGTTAAAGCACAGCCCACTAACTTTGTTACCTTCAGTTGATTTAAAATGATTATATATCAGATTTGACTTGAAAGAAATTTGATTTTCCAATTTAATGCCTTGAAATTGGAAATGATCTTTTTAAATTTCACACTCCGCCTTCAATTATGCTGTTTACAAACGTTCTCGGGAGCTTTGGACTGAGAAGTAGGGCGTCAGAAGAGCTCAGATGCTCAGTTCCACCAGGGGTTTGAAATTGCTGCTGGCTAGTCTGAAGGAGCTGAGTAGGTTGGGCTATTTGCAGGAGAGGCCTGCCATGTGACACAGAGGTTCAGCTGGAGACTGAAGATCCAGGAGCTTTGAGTAAATCTGCGGTGCGTCATATGAGCGCAGGTGTTTAGGCTCCCCTAAAATGATTGCCAGCAGAGATTCAGGGATTTCCTCAAACATGGAAGAAAGAAACAAAGCTCTGTCTATTAGAATTAGCTTGATGATCTTAAACATACACAAATTTTCACACCTGTGTATTGAATATATAGCAGAGACATTCTAGAAAATGTCACATTTATGTTCCCTGGTGATCCATTTTCATACAATCTCATATATTTATTATCTAAACTCAAGACAAGTTGTGCACCACAGAGAATCTTTTGTTGGTTCATTTGCAGCTTTTTCAAATTGTTTTGTGGACAATAAATAGAGAAATTTCACATTCTGAAAAATAGACAACAAAAAAAATCTAACAAAGGAATTATTTTTTAAATCAAATTTAATGTAAAATATAGACTATTAAATCGTTTTGTTGTGTTGTTTTTTTGACATGGAGCTCTTTGCACCAGGTTCAGTACTGTAAGTGGGGCAGAGCGTACATCTCCTCTGCAGTGAGCTGCTCACTGATTATGCAGAGAGATGTGGGGACACAGTGCATACTGTATTTGTGCCGTCCTTTGGGAAATCTTGTCATGCTCCTTTGCTGAATCCAAATCTCTCCTTGAGCCCCGAAAGGTTAGAATGTAAGAGAGGATGAAGAGGGGAAACTTTGTGATTCACATGGTGGGGCTGGCGGATCGGGGCACTCAAGTCTAGCAAAGGTTGGAAGTGCTTAGAAACACGTTTCGGTTTTAAAACGATTGTCGACTGAAAGCGGAATAAATGGGTAAAATCGTGGAGGATGAAGTCACAATTGGTCTCACCAAATTTGGTGAGACCTCATCTGTTTGTAGCCTAACTGTCGCTTTGTGATATGACGATTCACATCTGAGAGGTCAGAGAAATAAAAAGCAAGGCAAATCCCCACCCTGTAAGAACTCCAAACCTGCTCAACTTTACTTTAGATGTAGTATTCAGCTTCTTTGCACAGCAAATCTGGAACAAACTTCTGGAAAACTGCAAAACTGCTGAAACACTGAGTTCCCTTAAATCAAGCCAGATTAGAGATGGCTTTGATCAATATGTTGGAACACTGACCAACATATTTGATCTGTGTTTGACAAAACGTGGTGTCTATTGTTTGTTTCATAATTCAGGCTTTCCCTCAGTGTATCATCAGCCTGGCAGGTCACTAGGCTTCATTTGTGTCCCCACCAGGCTAAGGATTACTTATTTATTGAAGTCTTTTGAAATGTTTGCATTTTTAAGACTTTATAGTTGGTGTTCAGGTATTAATCTTCCAGTCTTTCAATAATCCATGATTATCAAATGATATTTTCAAATTGCCTGTCAACTTCAAAGACTTTTAGGTCACAAACATGACGGGCCTCTGAATGACATCCAGCCACCAGGCTTAGCAAGTTTTCTAGGAAATACCTTGATAATTGATAACTACATGATGTGTAAAGCGTTTTGAACTGCCTTGTTGCTGAAAGATGCAACACAAATAAACTTGATTTTACTGAATGAATCCTTGTAAAATAATTGTCAAAGAGAAGACAACCCGGCAGGGAGAGATCAGAGAATCAGTCAATAGAGTGGCAAGAAGAAAGCTGTTGTTGACGTGTCCAGATATTTACTTATGAAAAAACAAAACATTGAATCGTTTTCCTTCAACTTCACAATGTAAGATTATGGCTGTGGTGTTTATAAACCACTCATACAGGTTCTGATATGAAGATGTGCCGACACTAAACGCAACAGCGGATGCACAGAATGTCGAGTATTTATAGAAAATTAAGTGAGATTAGAAACCATGTTCTTGCTAAATGAAACAAGAGTCTTTCTGTGTATTTTCCCCCAATGCTCTGAAGTGTTGGTGGTTTAATTATTGTTTGCAGTTTGGGGACGTGACGCTTGCTTCCCTCTGGCAGGCAATTTATGAGCTCCAGCTTTTGCCCCACAGAAAATCAGGAAACATCCAACTCAGCTACTTTACAGACAACTTGGAGAAAGTCCCACTTTATTATGTTGTGTCTTCATTTTGGATACGAAGAAGCTCCAAATACAACAAGGAGGGCAGGACGCAAGCAGCGAGCAAGAAGAGCTGAACTGAGAGAAATCTCTTAAAGGAAAAATACCATGTGTGTTCTAGGCAAATGGTACCATTTCATAACTTGCTATAAAAATGATATATGTCAAATATGACTTAAACAAAATGTGATGTAACATCTTGAAATTGGGCATCTGTCTCTTTAAGAAACTCCTGCTTTTTCTGAAACTGTGACTTCAGGAAGTCATCACAACATGGCTCCTCTTTAACAACTTTTTCAGCATTGTTGCACTGAGCCTGGCAGTGAGAGGCGCTGTTCCACCAGGTGTTTGCTAATTGCTGCTGGCTAGTCTGGAGGAGCTGGGTGGAGGAGTTGCCATGGAGGGCTGCTCTGTGAGGAGGAATCTTAAAAAGTGCAGCTCTGAGGAGGAGCTGAGCCTCAAAGGAGGGGCCAGGTCCACTCAGGCGTCTGAATGGTTGCCATGGGAGATGAAAGGATTTCTCAAGCAAGTATGAAAAGAAAAATCAAAGCAAAACTCCAGGTATGTATTTGATAAGGGAATAACGTTTTAACATGACGTAAAGCTCAAAAACAGTCAATTTGATGCAATACTGCCCTTTTGAAACAAAATAAATTCTAAAAACATACCAAAAATAAGGAGTAAAGGAGTGAGGACACAGGAAGTGCAAGGAGCTCTGACTAGAAAACGGGCAAACAAGAGAACCCGAGCTGAACAAACATAAAGACTGGAGGACGCACAGACGGACGGCAGTAATTGAATTTTTAACTGTACCCCTCCAAAGCACTTCAGACAGACCAATAACATTTTCTAATAGCCATTTCAATTCTCATTTTATTTGGGATTTTTCCTCAATAAGTCTCTTATTGAAAGCCCTTTGAATGTGAAAATCATCCACTTCAACTTGTAGTGAATCTGTGGAGAAAGGAATGAATCACCATCTGTTGGCCCATGGAGTCATGACACCCTGAATTATACGGCGCATTGCAATTAAAAACAGTGCAGGAGTGACGACGGAGATTACTGTGAGTGAATTCATCTGCAACAAAGGAGATCAAAATACGGCTGAATATGTTTTAGGTACGCAGACGCACATTAAGTAATCTACAGGCACGTTGGTGTAGCTGCAAACTCTGATTGGTTATAGACCTAACCACACCGCTCGTCATAATCTGTGGATTCAAAGCAGACTGGAACATTAGAAATATGACAGGATTATTAGGAGATATTACTATAGATATAATAGGAATAATCAGAAATATAACAGGATTCATGAGGTAAATCCATTTGGTTACACATATCACCAAAAATCTACCTCCAGATTTTTTCAAAAATAATAATGACACCTGGTGTGAAACAATATTGCAGTAAGTAGACACACTAAGAAAGGCGATAATTAACAAAGAAATCCAAAACAGCTCTGAAATATGAAAAGCATGCCATGTTTCTCATATTTTATTTTGTAAAATAATAATAAAAAAAGACCCGCACAATTTGGTGTGGATCATAAAAATCATAAAATTTCAAGACACAACAGTCATTCTCTCTCTCTCTCTCTCTCTCTCTTTCTCTCATTATTACAGCATTTTGCAAACAGAAGCCATTTTGGTTTTCTCTGACTAACCCTGTGTGTCAATTGCTGAGTCGTATTGTATTGGGGATCATAACTACGATTCAGCATTTTGTGAATCTCTCCTGGAGATTAAGATGATCTTATATTGAATTGAAAACTTTCTTTATTTCTACTTGCATTAAAAAAAAAATACTAAAATACATTTGAATAAATGACCAAAGTCGGCCCCCAGCAACCCGTTCTTCCATTAAACCCTCCAACACGCCACAAGCTCCTGGTGAAGTTGGACTTACCATGTTGATTGAAGAAACCGGTCCGATGCTGTTCACAAATATATCCACATCTATCACAGTTGGTTTCACTGAAGGAGAAGAAGAAGAAAAATAACATATTTTACTCATCAGATTGCTCACTGTAGCCCAGGCTTCTGCTTCTATAAATTAAAGTGAAGACAAAAAAGAAAAAAAGGGTCTTGAATTAAAGACTCTTTGCTGTTCAGGAGCCTCTGAAGACGGAGGAGCTGCTGAGCGAAGAGGCCCTCAGGGCGTAATGATCACACATTAGTCTTCATCGCAAACTGCTGTGATGAAACACCTCCATCAGTGTTCGCTTGAAAGAGACAATTACGCATCGATTATTCCTCGGTGAGTCGAGCCCACAGCTACACTTTTTTAGACCTTTTCCCATTAAGGTCTAATTTGGCCTTCTTTCTTTAGTTTCCATCTCCGTGGCAATCAAAGCTGTGCCTTAGTTTTTTTTTTTTGTTTGTTTGTTTTATTGTCTTTAAAAAGAGTATTTCATGGGGGAAAAAAGCAATCCACAAACAATGGATGCTATTAAGGTGACATTTTTCCAACCAAGCTGCAGATTTCAATTTTCTACACAAAAACAAACAAACAAAAAAACAACCCAAGGGCAAAGCATCGTGGAACAAAGGTTATTGTGCTTCCCATAAATGTTTAGCAAAACCTCGATATACACCGACGACAAAACAACACAATGTTAAACTTGAAGTTTTTGTGATACAGACTCTTTTAAGAGAGACGCTGCGACTTCGTAGGCTATTAATACACCTTGAACTTTTATGCATTTTATCTCTATACATCTGCAAAACGTCAACACGCCAGCTGGAAGTATTATACATATAAAGTGTAATAAAGTGCAAAGCAACTGATAAATGATTTTCACATTTTCATTTTAAGAGGAGCAGAAAAGAGGGATCAAGCGCTCAGGTGGACTTGGATCCACTGCACAATGAAGATTACAGCATCCTAATTTTCACAACTTACCTACAAAATAAGGTATAACAAGTGCAGAAAATAGACGAAAACACATGGGGGAGTTTAAGAAGCTGTCACAGAGATGGTAGATTCCAATGCCAAAGCTTAGGAAACCAAAGTGGCCGTCAGCAGAGGTTGGGTGGAGGGCCAGGACTCTCAGGAGAGGTGCATGATGAGAGAAAGGCTGCAACTAGATGACACATAATGATCCTTGAGTGAATTCAAGAACAGCAGCTGAAAGAGGACGTCCTCAACCCCGTCACAAGGAAAGGATCACAACATGACAGACTCAAAGTGAAAGTCGATGGTTGTGAACTTTTCCACCTTCGTGGAAAAGTAGCAAAGCCGTTGTTTAAAGAAGTTCAATTTTCACTACACCTTAAGACATGCAGGTGTGAAAGAAGGTGTTCTGGTCAGACGAGTACACACAGACACATTTTGACTTGTCTGTGAACACAAAACGTGTTCACAAGACATGTGGAGGTCCGATTGAGCGTGATTGCACTGCGCCTTTCCCCTCCTTGATCTTTCAGATTTCTGCCCATTGTGGATTGCCAATGGGTTCCTCCTCCTTCTCCTCAATAGCACGGTTAGATAGAGGGCATGAGCCTCCATGACATGGGGGTTGCTTTCCCCGTACTTCACTGCCAACCTGCCTCCATCTTGGGCACATTTCTACTCTGCTGGGGTGCCTGGTATCAATGGTGTCTGCAGCCTCTAGGAGTTGTGGCAACCTTCCCCTTGCTACTCTTGGGCACTGAGAGCTGCGTAGTAGTAGCTGCTCTTCTCATCATTGCCTTGGAAAGTGTAGGCAATCGACAATGGGGTATGCCTGAAGTGCCACAAGAAGAAGAAGAAAGGGTCATTTACTGAAACAAAAATAGATACAAATCTGGAGAAGTCATCCCACTTTTGTCACTTGACCCCAAGTGAACAGCGGGCCCTTGCTTATTTCATCTGATCAATCTGGCTCACCATTTGAACTCCAGCTTCCCTCGTCTCTGTCTTTAGGTAAGATGGGAATCTGATACATGTATCCATCTGTAAAGAGAAAAAAAATCTCTCCCATGATTTTATATGAACCTTCTTTGGAGTCTTTGTGTCTTGGACCAATCAGAGGATCAGAATTTCCCCACCTGCCAGTCTACAACTGCGATCACCTTCCGTCCAACAGATGGGACTCCAAAACACGCTTAAGGTGAATCGATGCAGAGAGCCGTTTAGTTGTGTGGCATCCAGCAGATGGGGAACAAGCAGAGTAGATCATAACTCACGCCTTTAAGCTCTAACATTGGAATCATTCTGGGGTGTTTTACGATAATTCACATGTTTCTACACAAAGACTGAGCAAGCTCCTGTTTTACGCTCAACAACAGACACTTCAAACAGACTCCTGGCAGGGAACTCGTTGTGTGTAAGCTGTCAGGTAATAATGTCAGCTGCAGAAACAGGATGTGTTTTGCCCTGGAGAGCAGCCACCCAGACAAGCAATTAATTGGAGACAATCAGCCCTGATAGCTGGTTCTCGACGCAGAGCATCTCCTATCCTCAGCCCTTCCCCTCCTCCACTGACCTGAGCTTCCCTCCCAGGGAAACCATTCAAAAGCTGGTGCAACCCAGTGGAGGGCTGTTATTTTCACAGCCATGGAGAGATTTATAAAGTTTTTCATGAAGTCATTTCAACTTCTGAAGCTCCACAAAACACTCTGACACGTATGTGTCAAATCGGCCCACCAGAGCTTTTTCTGTGGCCCTCTAGAATCGAGGCTTAAAACTAAATGTGCTTAAATATTATGTTTTCAATCAAATCAATACAGTTTTTATCGGTTTACTGCCGAATTATATCAATCAGTCACTCCAGTTTCTCGAGAATTATAGTGGAAATTCATGCAAAATCAACAAATCCCCACACTTTATCTTGCACTGATAACTGGGAGCTTATTGCAGATTTTCCCCCAAAATTGTCAAAAACTCTCTTACTTGCACATAACAGCTGCCTCACCTTAGCTGATGTTAGATAATAGTCCATGTTCTGTACAGCGAGTAACAAAACGTTGTGTTTCCAAATTACTACCACAAACTCTTTACTTTTATTGAAAACATTTTTTTAAAAATTCACAAAATCCTGGAAAAACTGAATAATATTATTTAATTTTAAGAATTCATTGATATTTTAACAGTTGTCTAACGGGTTTTATCAATACATACATTCTTAAGAGCATGCATGATCTTGATTTGGACCAAAACAAAAATCACTTTGTAAAAGTCTTGTAAAATTGTTACATTTTAAATGGTCTGACCTAAATCTGAAGGTGTTTTTGAAATCTCAAAGGTAAGGGAAGGCTTTACATTTTCCAGAGAGTAAACATCAAGACGAGTAAAACTGGCCTCGTTCGTCCCCCAGGTTACTAAGATAAAGTGGCCAAACAATTTAAAATAACGTCTCGTAGTTATTGAGTTATTGTTTTAAATTCCTAAAACCTTGTTTGGCTGTGACTGCTCTCTTTCTCAGGGTGAATTTGTAGTGTACATGAATCAAATCTCCTGGAAGAACCTCCGGGCAATAAGTATTCTGCTCCGCAGTGGGACGCTTTTTCTGCCCTTTTTCTCATCCAGAGGTGAGAAAAAGGAGATCCTGGAACCAAACCTTGTGTAAGATTAATGCGTCATTATGTTGGAAGCTGACAGTGATGCATTAGCTGCTCTCTCTCCAGGCCGACACCAGGAGAGTCTGGTTCTGTGACCAATGGACAGCTGTAAGCCAGGAGGAAACAAACTGCGGCTGCAAGCCTGTGTTTGGCATGAGGCTATTTGTGATGAACATGGTCATGTGACCACACAGCTGGACGGTTTGATTTGCTGTTTCAGGGTGAAATATAATTAGAAACATCCTTGTCAAAACGGATTACCAAGTTGGCTTTACTCGGTGAGACTGAGACAAACCGAGCTAACAAAAAAGAAGAAAAAATAAGAAATCAACATCCACAGCTAATCTAATGAGGTTTCCGCTGTTACGTCTCCCGCCAGTTTACGTTTTCACATTTTGCAAAGACTTGAAATATCCAGCTGGACTGAAAATTTGCCAGATTTGAAGAGTTAAACTGATTGGTTGTTTGTACCTCCATGCTGCATAACCAGGCGCTAAGCAGCCGGTTTTACTCTGAAACAGATTTTGGTGGCAGCAGAAGAAGAAACTTTCTCCTCTCCCATTATGTATTTTTCTTTAACCACATTTTTACTTATATTTGGACTTTTAATAGTAGCCTAAGCCCACACACGTTATCTTGGAGATGATCTGAATGAACATTTATTTCAGAACTGCCAGAACAGACTGCCTTTGAAAGTTTTGCATTTTAATATTTTGTTTGTTTTATTTTACTTTAGTCAGATCTTGTGATTTTTTAGCTCAGTTGCCCCTGAAAAAAAGTGTCATTCATCCGTTTTTTGGGATAAAAATCTTGCAAAAGCTAATTAATTTACAAACAAAAAAAGAAGACGTTTAACTACAAAACTCAATTAACAAATTTTTTTTTAAAAAAAGTCAGAACGCTGTGATTAAACAGATTTTATTTCCCTAATGGTCCTAATCGTCTTCTGCTTATACTTGCTACTTTTCTCTCTTGGATAACAACAGCGTTATTCTTTTATTGGTGGTACTCTGTTATCTTTATCCACAAAAAGAACAATGGCGTTCTTGTCATGTTCTTTTTTCCCCCCCTACCTTCCTACATGACTGCATGACTGTCTACTGCTGCCATTTCCAGTCAACTCATTAATCACATCAGCTCACAGGAACTCCCTGTGACACGGCTTCACCTATTCTTGGTGGCGATCGGAGCGGCGGCGCGATGACTGATGGCACCGAGACATCGGCTTCTGCCGTGCCGGTCCGGGCTCGGCGGCAAAAGGAACGCCAAGAGGCTCTGAAATATTCAAAAAGCAGAACAGATCGCCCACCTCAGGTGGTCATCTGTTACCCGGTGAGCAGACACCAGAGCCGCTGCAAGACGGCTCCTTAATGACAAAGAACTGCACCAAAGGGGACTTTAACATGCAGGCGGTTCTGTTTGTCTACTTTGTGTCGCGTAGTTTCACCTTCATGAGATCAAAAGACAGATCAACTTAAAGTGAGGCATATTTTCATCAATTTTTGATGCAACCAGATAAGCTGCTGGTTTGTTTCCATTGTTTCAAGAAAAAAATTTGTTTATTGTTTTTTTTTTGTTTTCCTCACCCTCACGGCTCTGAGCAATTTCGCCATGTGACAGAGAAAGAAAAACCAAATCAGTCAGTCATTATGATTCCTCTGACAGTAACTGGCTTAGTTACTAAGTAACAGTGTGAACAAAAGGAGCGGCGCATTGGTTTCCACGCGGGCTCTCTGTCTCGTTTATGTCATCTGCTTTTGAGTGGTGTGTCATCGCTTTGAGCAGGTCAAGTCGCAGCGCTGCATACAAAGTGAAGTTAGTAAATTATAAGATGTCATTCTGATCTCCATCTCTGCACATTTCTCAGTGGAAGTCGCCGCACTTACTTCCGCGAATTCACGAACTTGAATCACGATCCCGCTTAAGCTAGCGACCGAACGAGCTACTTTTCTCACTTCCGATATCGTTCTCGATATCTGAGGTATCGTATCGGCCGATAACTGATCCGATACAGAAAAACAGTGTTGAGTTGACTGAAAACGTTTCTGTTTTTGTTTAAACGCTGACATATTTCTGAACCATTACAGCACATTTAAATACACCAACAGCTACACATGCTTGCTCAAACATACAAAAATAACTTCAATTACGATTATAACACAAAATGGAAAATAAATAGTCAAGGAAACTGAGAAGAACAACATGTTGACTACTTTGGTCAAACTGGTAAAAAATAAAACTTATCTCAAATGGTTCAGAAAGAGAAATAGGAACTCTAAATATAAAGTATTAATCATAAAGCATAGAATTAGACTATAAATGTGTGCTTATGGATCAGACACATTGTCACGATAAACCATCTGTAATTGTTTTTAGTATCAGGATCGAGACAGGTATTAATTTCGAATTGGTGAATCTTTAGTTAAAAACCCAGATGGCGATTCATTTTCACCGCTCGGCTCCCAATTTCTGTGTTTTTCATTTTAAATCTCCAAGTAGCCTACTTGAAGATTTAAAAAAAAAAACTAAATGAGTAATTAAACACGAGTTGAAAAGTCTGACTCAAAAATGTTTTTCAAGGAAGTTTTCCCATCACCCCTTTGGGACACTGATGGTGTCGAACAGTTACGATGAGCTCCAGTGACCTCGGACGCCAGTTCCTACAACGAGCTCCAAAAGATCGTTCTTTTTCTTGTTTTTCCCATCTGGTTTCACTTCAATCCTTCGTTAGCCTTCAAACTTTGTCACAAGTAATTTGAAAACTTTAATTTCTTCGTTCGGACTGTAGATGTGACAAGTCGAAGCAGTTAGCTGTTTTCTTGTCCTGATGCATGAGGGTCGACGGCCGTCTGCCTCCCTCACATACAGGAGCTTGGAAATAAATCTGAGAGAACCTTCTCGCTATAGCAAACTACGAAACGAAAAATAATAAATTTAGAGTTATGACAGAGCAAGTTTCATATCTGGTAGCAGTAAGATACTTCCTAGTTTTAATAATGTAAAAATATGCAGCATAAACAGGCTCTCCTTCTCATAGTGCTGCTTTTATACAACATCTAAATACCCCAAGAGGTGTTTCTGCTTTGCTGCTGCCACCTTTCTTATTTAAAAGGGAAAATATTTTGGATTCAATGAGAGATAAATCTCTCTCTTTTTTGTTTTTTTTTAATTCATTGGACTTTTTCTCGTTTGAATGATGTACCGCGCCTGAATTTATTTCCACATTCTTGCAGTTAATCATTTCAGTACTTCAGTTCTCCAATCTTTCCCATTTTGCAAAGTAAAGCCTTAAAGGAAATGAAGCCGTGTGTCACATAACGATTCTGTCCCAGCGAAACAGCAAGTCATAGATCAACAATTACTAGTTCCTGGACCCTCTGATCAACATAACCAGAAAAACATTTAGAAAAATGACTTCAGTTACATTTATTTAATAGTAATTGTCAATGCAGGCAATGACTCTGCCACCAGTTTTTTCTTTTTTAATGTTTTCCATTTCTTAATCATTATATTTTTCCTTCCGTAGTAAACGCAATCCAATTAAAGATGAGATTTTTCCTAAATTACCCATAAAGTGTCATGTTACTGTAATGAAAGATAACATATGCTTTGTGTTTTGGGACAATTTACCAGATGATGTGCTGGAAAATACATAAAAACATTTTTTATTTCACTTACTCTTTTTGCAACTCAAGTATTTTGCGCAAATAGAAAAGCAATGCACACGTAAAAGGAGGCTGGAGAGCAACAACAATCTTTTCTCAGTTGACGTTGAACGTGTGTCGCATCATCAGCGTAGAAATCCATTTGTATTCGAGCAACGTGGTCGGAACGGCCCTCATTGCTCAAATGCAAGCTCAAAACGTCACATTCATTAAAGCAGAAAGGTCGAGCTCAGATGACTTTAGGCCGCCGTCTGTCATCAAAACCCCACGTAACAACAAATGGCTCTCTGATTTACTTATCTGCAGTCGAGGGAATTAAAAAACAAAGGCTAATTGCCTGTGCCGTGTTTCTCATTAGTTCTTTTAAATCACCCACACAAGTTAATTTTGTCCATTTCAGCCGGGCAATCAGCAATGAATACAAATCTGCGATGCACTAGAGATTCATAAATTGTGACTGTGTGTGTGTGGGGGGGGGGGTGCGTGTGTGTAACATAGTTGCAGCTCAGTGAAAAGGACATCTTTTTTTTTTATTATTTGTTTTTTTTTTACAAATAGTTGCCATGTAACTGGACAACAACACCTGAACAATGCATCTTAGAGCGTGTTCCCTCAGGCCACTTGTTTTCTTTATCTGCTTCATCCATCCCAGGACAAGATCCCAGCGATTACTGGGGACGTGTGTGTGTGCCAGTGTAGGTGTGTGTGTGGGTGGAGGGTTGGATATGGGTTGGTACACCCTGGAGATCCAGGCCATCGCTGAATTACAAGACAAAAAAAACAACAACAAAAAAACATAATTTGGACTCGCCAGTTAAACGAACAACATATTTGGACAGGAAGCTGGGGAGAAAGATTTTGGCCACGGGGAGGATAAGACGTCAGAAAACCAAATCCACCAACAAGAAAAAAACAAAAAAAAGTCAAAATGTCTGCCGATGCTGTTTCCTCGTCACCTTCCCAGATACTTTGACTACGCAGCTGCGTAATCGCCATGAGGAGATACATCAAAATTTGCTTTCACTCAAATAAAAAAACAGAATGTAAAAATACTGTAGTTTAAGTTTACTGTAGATGTTGGACAGACTCACAGCCTGTAGAAGGTGATGGTTACAGTACATTATAGTTATACCGTACTGTAACTATGCTGAACATGTTTTATTTAACCTGGTTGAAAACAAAGATGGTTTGACCTTCCTGCTGCATTACCTCATCTACTCTGGGATTAAGGTCCTAGTCCAAGTATAAACTTGTTGACCAAACAGCAGACACAAACCTGAAATTCAGGTTTTTAAAAAACAAAACCGAATATATGAATCCAATGAAACTGAAGACTGAAACAGACATTCAGGCAGCATTCAACAGCTATTCAACAGAATAGCTGCTCACAGGTCCTTTTTGCATGAATTACTGCATCAACGTGGCAACGCATGACCTTAAGGGACCTTGATTCTGAGCAAAAATACACATTGTGCTTTAATTAGGACGTTGGCACACACACAGAAAAAAAAAACCACCCAGTCCTTGTTTTCCTGAGTCCAGTTTGGATGCATCACAAAGAGGGCAGCACCGGGTCCAGGATGCGTCTGCATTTCTCTTCCAGCTGCTGGGATTTTTCCCTCAAATACTTTTTTCTTCAGAATCGTCTCACGGCTGCAGTTACGCTTGGTCTGCCGCACTTTGTCCTTCCACTCATCTTTCTGTCGTTGTTCTGCAACGACCTTTGGTGAAGTCCATGCCTGCCTCAGGCATGAAACTCTTTATGTCAAACATCCTTTTATTATTATTGTTATTGATTTTAGGTGAAATTCTACTTTTCTAATAAGTAGACATGAAACATGTCAGTAGTAGAATCCATAAAATGTAAATGTTCAGTTTTGGAACTGATTTTTAGAACTATAATTAACTCTTTTTTTTTTTTTTTTGCTTTCTCCCGAAAAAAAAATATTATTATGCCCGCATTTCTGGGGAAAAAAGAACAATGAACAAAAAAAAAGCGAGTCTTACCTCCAATGTCGGGCCTCAGCTTCTTGTCATACTCCTTGAGTAAATTATTGAGGATTTCCGTGGTGTCTGTTTCCTGGGATTTGGGAGCCAGCATCTGGTTCACAGTGACATCCTCGTAGTCCTCCTCATACTGCACTGCTAAACAACTGGAGAGAGGCGAGGAAACAAGCTCGTGTTTAACAGGACGTGCAGTGCGCAGAGAGCATGCGTTTGGAGGAACTTAGACATAAAGTTTCAAAGAAAATCCCTGCGGCGAGGATATGGAAATCCCTTCTTTTTCTCTTTTTGGAAGAAAACGGAAAAGAAGGAAAGGAAGCGAGGGGCGCCGCTTACCAGGCGAGAAGGACAGACAGAAGTCCGACGCCGGCAGGGAAGCGCGCGTCATGCTTCTCGGAGGGAGAACCACAAGTAGACAGAGACGCGTCAGCGGACGGTGGCTGTGCGCGGCTCTGAGCGGGAGCAGGAGCGGGAGGAGCGGGGCTTCATAGTATCCAGTCCAGTCGATATGTCTCTCGGTGTGAATAATGATAATAAAAACCATTCATATCCTTCCCCGGTGGCCTGTTCCTCTCCACCCCCACCCCTCCTCTGCTCCAGACACAAACTCAGCAGTTTGTCACCGCGGAGGACTGCAGCGCTCCTCCATCCACAGCGGACGGCGCTGCGCCCTTTACGCAGGTGCGCACGGTGGCTGCGTTCTCCGAGAGGCGAGAATTCATCAGCTGAGAAAAAATAAAATAATAATAATAAAAACCAAATAAATAAATAAATAAATAAAATAAATAGAGAACTCCTCCGTGGCGAAGTCTGCGTCACGCAGGAGTCGTTACACCTGCACGGAAATACTTTTTGTCGAGCTTTGTGCCTTCGTTCTTCCCTTCCGATGAATCACAGCAGAATGTCCGCGTAGAGTGTCTTCAAATGCACTCGCAGAAGAAAACAAAAGACTTTACTGATTCTCTTCGAATGCAAAGCCAGAAATAAAAACAGGACTAAGTAGAACACGGGGACACGCAGAATCCACAAAAACCCAGAGCATGATGCTGCCACTATCGTGCTTCATTGATGAACGTTTATTTGTCTTACGCGCAGTAGAAACATTTTCCTTTCTACAATGAAAAGCTTACTTTTGTCTGCAGGAATGTTATTTAAAAAGTTTTTTTTGGTACAAAATGTAAAATAACCGAACAAATTTGAGTTTAAATATAAATTTTATATAATAAATACCGCTATTAATATAAAATGTCGGTAATGTGAATAAGGCATAGAAGTGTATTATTGGTAGCGAATGTAAACATGGGCGCGCCACACTGTAAAAGCAAAGATGTATATTTGACGGTGATGAGCAATAAAATGAAACAATTTAGAATTTGATGTAGGTTGTTTTCATGCTCATTTAGAGAAAACCTTTTTTTAAATTTATTTGATTTGCGTCCTTTACTTTAAACCACTTTTGTTTACAGTGAATTATTGAATCCAGTTTAATTTTTTCTAACTGTAAAATGAAAAATTCAAGTAATTTTGCATCCTGGCAACCGCAGCTGATGATGATGATGATGATGATGATGATGATGATGATGATGATGCACCTGTTTCTTTATATTTGAAACACTGAAACCGTGGATTGAGTGGAAAATTAAAATAAATAATTGCCCCACGTTGCGAATCAAAGTCGCCTCTTTGACTCGTCCTCAGTTTGGAGGCGTGTGTGTGAGATGCTACACATGTGCAGCGTCAGCAGCATAAGAGGTCAGAGGGCGCTTTAGTTTTAGCATCTCAGCTGCAGAGCGATGACGAGCGTTAGCCGAGCCTCTGGTCTCAGGCTGTGGAGCTCCGCCTGACCTCTGTCACCTCTAGTGGCTAAAATGAGAACTGCGCACACTTAAACAAAAACAAAAACAAAACTCTGACTGCTGTTGTGCTGCTTAACATGTAACTTTTTTCCCCACACATTTGCATGTGCCTTGCCAAATTCTGTACAGTTTTGTGCAACACACATCCAGAGTTTCTTGACTTTCTGATGTCTGCACATGCATTGTTGTTTTTTCCTATGGAGACGCCATTGTAGGGCCTCAGTGTCGCGTTGAAAGACAACTTTGAAAAGCGGTCGAGCTGTGAATGAAACCAGCAATCATTCCCACGACCCCACTTAGCCACATGATCACCTACTCACAGCCATACATTAGCATAATGCAAAAGATAAAGCCCAAACCTACGGGTCCAGAACGAATCAGCAAATGATTTAATGGGCCGCACTCAGAATAAATATGGGCTTCATGAACTTATAGTTGTTTTTTTTTAAGTTTAATGCTAGATGAAATCACTCATGAGTCTAATTTGTGCTGCTACCTGCCCAGCATATTTAGCATGTGCACCTATACACTCTGCATGTTAATCCAGCAGTCTGCTGAATAAAAAAGCTGGAGTGTGTACGATGCATTCGCTCTCTTAAAGAAATAATATGCTAAATAGTGTGTGACACCCCCTTAAAGAGTAGAGTTGATCATCATCGCTGCATAGCTCCAAACATTTGGACCAAATTCAAATGCCAAAGTGGTGCTTATGGTTTTCAAGCTGAATCTGAAAAGTGTAAATTGCATTTGTATTTTTGCCGTCTTTGATGCTCTTGCATAAAACATCAAAAGGTCCACAGTTCAGGTGAAAGTTGTGTGCTCCTCAAATTCATACAAAAAGTGCTCAGATGAGAGAAATTGTTTTTGAATAAAAAGCGACGGTCTGGTTCAAATTTCACAACAAGCCAAACATTGGACACGTAAAGTTGTGGAAGAAGAAAGCGGCCTGTTCAGAAGAAAACCAAAAGAACATTTTTTGGCACATTTAAAAACAAAAAACAAAAAAAGGTGTGATGTGTGGCAGAAAACCAACACTGCACTTGTCCCTGAACCTACCATCCCCACAGTGGAACATGGTAGCGTTAGTATCATACTCTGGGGACGTCGTTTCTTTAACCGCGTGTGAACTTCCTTCCACTAAACTTCACCCTGAACAGATCCCCATGATGAAACCTGCTGGTGGCAACATCACAATATCAGCAAGAGTTTGAATTGTGTTCAGATGTCCTCTTTATATTCCAGATCTCATTGACATATTTTCTTTTGTGCATTTTTATGTTTGTTTCTGTTTAATTACGTTGGATTTTTTTTTTTATCTTTTCAAACCTATTTTTACACAGATTCTTTTTGCATTTTTTTCCCACAATATTAGCATCATTTTCTTAAAAACATAGCAAATAAACTCAATGCTCCTTTTCTGATCTGTTTAGCGACTACCAAATGTGAGCTGTCCCTTTAAAGGGGCAGTATTATGTAAAATTGACTGTTTTGAGCTCACAGAGCACCCTTCCTTTGAAACTCCCCCATTCAGCTCCTTCAGACTAGCCAGCAGCAATCAGCAAATGCCTGGTGGAACTGCATGTCTGCTGAGGTCATTATAGGAACTACTTCTCAGTGCAATGCTGGTAAAAATGTTGTCGAAGGGTTAATTGAGGAGCCATGTTGTGATGACTTCCTGGAGGTGGAGTTTCAGAAACATCAGGAGTTTTTTAGAGACACAGGCCCAAATTCAAGGCGTTAAATTACAAAGTCAAATTTCTTTGTTTCATATATGGAGCATTTACTGAAGGTAACATCGTTTCTTGACTGTGCCATAAAATAACGCAATATGGCTGGAAAACAAACTCCATTTAAATACTTCCTCACTTCTAAAACCTGCAGCATCACCTCCACGTTTTGGTACGCTCCCCGAGATATGATATTCACTCCCCTCTCTGTGTTTTTCCCTCCGACACTCCAATCTCTGACTGATGTCATTTGGTGCCATCAGCGACGGCTTAATTTGTCGTCGACTCCGGCCCAACTGAACCAACTTAAACGGATTTAAATCCTTGAGTAGCAGATGTGAGCCAGATGTCACAGCAACAGAGAGACCCCCATCCCAACCCCCCAACAAGACGAGTTTAGCACTCCAACAACTGCAGAAGAGGCGTTGGTGTAATCCAGTGCTTATCAAATAGTGGGGCGGGCCCCCTTTGGGGGGCGCGGTGCGATACATGGGGGGGCGTGTGATCCTGGGGAACAGGCTTTTTTTTTTGGCCGTACTAGTATAAAGTGTAATTGCGCACAGTAGGCGGCAGTGGCGCTCTCATTGTTACTTCTGTCACGTTTGCGACAGTGCAACATTTTATGATTTACAAGACAACAGGTTTGCCTTGGTTAGCAGTGTTAAGTCAACAAAAGCTCCGACTGCGTTCTGTCTATGGCCTCCGTTATTCAACAACCCCCAACATGAAAAAGTTTTTCACAGGGATGAAAAGAAAAGCGGAGAGAGACAAAGATAATGAGACAACAGAAAGTCAACCGAAAGCTAAGAAGAGGAAATACGACGAAGCGTATTTAGCGCTTGGCTTCACTGTGACTACAGTTGGAGAAGAGGAAAGACCGGTGTGTTTGCTGTGTCCAAAAATGCTCGCAGCGGACAGCATGAAGCCAAATAAATTAGCGCGTCACTTAAATATGTTACATCCCAATCACGCCGATAAGCCGCTAGAGTTTTTTCAGCGAAAAAAATGTTAATAAGAAAAAAATGTTATGCAGAGATGGATAGTCACGGTGGGGAGTGGGGGGCGCGAATAGTTTTCTTTTTGCTAGGGAGGGCGTAACGGAAAATAATTGAGAAGCACTGGTGTAATCAAAGGCCGAGCAGAATGGGCACAAAGTTGTTTCTATCAAGTAGGATTACATTTTGGTTTTGTCACGTCGAGTCCCGCAAATCCACAAATTTGTAGGCTCCTATAAAGTTTAGCGGCATAAGTTTTTTCTGCATATGTTATAGAATAAAAACATGATCTGTTTCCCTCGTTCTCTAAGAGTACTTCAGATAGCGCGAAAATTTTTGAATCGGTTTTGCTTGACAACCGTCTCAAAGTTGCAGTTAGACCAATTTCCAATGTGTCTTTCCAATCACACTTTTTCCTTCCATTCAACTTTCTGAGAAAACACTTGAGCCAGCAAAGAGCTTTTATAACTTCAACATTGTCTTCAATGTCAACAGTCACATGGTTGGATGGCCATTATAACTCCATAACATTAAAACAATAATGTTATGTAATTTTTTTCGCGAGACAGAACTTTGAGAGTTTTTGTTATCTGTAAGTTATAGACATCAAAATGACGAAAAAAAAGTCTTCAAATATTTTACTCTATGTATAATGAACCTATAAAACATACATCCAGGTTTCACAGTTTTCATTTAGTTCAGTTTGATTTCCGTGAGAAAAAGAACAGATGTTTTTATTTTTATTAAGCACAGACAATCTGGATTAGCCTGTCTACATACCGCGTTTCTTTCAGAATGAATGAAACATCAGTCAGCAGCCTTTCATTAAAGCTTAAATGTCAGCAGCAACATTATTGCTTTATTATGACTGAGCACTAAGAGCCGGAAGACGGTGCGAGTGAAGCTTTATTGGAGTCAGATACAGAACAAAGTGCACGTTTTTGACATTAGCACAGGCCTTGACATTTGTCACATGAAAAATGGGATTAAAAAAAAAATCTATAGCAATGCTTTTATTAAAAAAGACGACTGGCGGATTGATGAAAACCTAATTAAATACATGTAAAATGTTGACAGTTTTAGCATGAACACACACAAAAAAATGTCATTCACTTCAGCGTTATTTATTGCTTCAGGTATTTGCTGTTAAAGCACAGACAGTTTCTGTTTACTTCAATGTCAATACAATATTTCTAAAAAAAAAACAAAGAAAAAACAAAACGGTTGTAAAGCGGGCATTAGGTCGCTTGATAAAGTTCGGACATTTAAGCAAATTCAGCTAAAAATAACGTTTGTATTTTCTGAGATATGGGTGAAAGAACCATTACATTCCATTGTTCTGTTAAAGTGATTTCCCGTTTTAGAAAAAAAGGAATATGGGTACAATAAATGTAGCTTCGTTTTTAAATAGACTGAATGAAAACATCGTGGCCACTCAAAATGTCGACTGCGGCTGTGGAGTGAAGAGGCTTAGTTTAAAATGAAATAAAGAAAGCGTGGCTGCATTTAATTGTCTGAAAGTACACAAACATGAAAACAAAACTCCAAAATGAACAATTGAGGTTTTCAAGGTGTCAAAAATCTTAAATTTATTACATTGCCAGAAGTACTGAGACATGCCCTCAACGTGCCAATCCCCTCCAAAACTGTTAAAATGCAACCAACTAGCATCTAGTACGAGCTAGCTTACGATCAAGCTAACAGTTTGTGTTTGTGGGTCACGTGAACTAAACTTTACTTCAAAGTCTTTTCATGTAACTTCAATAAAAAAAATAAAAAAAAACGTGACACATGAATGGAATAAAATGAAGCAACAGCAGGCTGGTTGTTTTTCCCCATTCTCTTGTCTTTATGTTAACTAGGGCTAAGCTAAGCTAAACAAAGCTAAAGACATCAGGCAATAGCTGTTTTTTTTGTTGCTTTGTTGTTTTTTTTTAATTAATATTGTTAAATATTTCTATTTGAACCCTGGTGATATGAATTGGTGTGGTCGTGACGCTTTTCTCCAGCCAGCATATGTCCGTCTTATTTTCATGCCAAAACAAGATATTTTCATTTATTTATTTTTTTTCCTCAAGGCTAATTGTCAAGTATGCTAGCTTTTAATCGTCAAGTATGCTAGCTTTTAAAAAAGACCAAAAAAACAAACTTATATCTATGAAAAAAAAAACCTGAATGTTTTCCTAAGCATAAAACCTTTTTAACTTGCCAGGGTTTAAACTACTTGACTCATTCTCTTATTGAGCACTAAAACTAGCAACTAACAATGCTGTTGTGTAAGCATTACATCGATATAAGTGCAAACTTTACCGGGCGAGTGGTGCTTTTCTAAAAGCAGGGCAAATATACAACTTTCTTAAGCTACTCCCGTACCTACTTATGTACACGGTTTAACCTCATAGTTTAGAAACACACCACTTTCAAAACGTTTCCCGCTTGAACAAAAACTCAGACTGATTAAACTCAATCGAGGACAAGCCACCGTAAATCTAAAGTAAGAACAAATAAACAACAACAACAATAACAAAAAAAAAAAACGTGAACGAGTCCACTAAATGAACTTTCTGAACCGGGTTTCAGAGTAAGGTTGTTGCAGGAGTGCAGAGTTCAGTGCATTCATAAGGAGTTATCGCACTCTGAAGGCAACACATTCAGCATGGCTATTCGGCTGCTTTTAACAAGAAAGCAAAGTTACATTTGCCTTGGTCCTGTTTCACATTCGTGGACCTCAAGGTTAACATTTACTGTACAAAGACTTTACAAAGATAAAAAGCGGTTTTGAATGATACAGTACAAATTGTTTACTTTGCATAGCATTTGGCCTTGCTTTTCCATTTCCAACTGAAAACTAAACGACAGAATACAAAATGCCAAATGCTCAAAATAAAAAATAAAATATATATATATATATATTAAGTACAACCAAGTTCTGAGTGAGCAATCATAAGTTAATCTTTTAGGTCGGTAATCATACATGAACTAACTCAAGGCAAACATGGCAGCACTTACCCGAAGCAACACACATGCAATAACTTGTAAATATCTTAAAAGAACAACAATTATGGTACAAGGACAAAGTGCTTGGCATTTGTTGATTGAGTTCTCGTCATCGCTGGCCTTCAGTCTAGAACTCACTCAGCTCCTTTAATCACCGGCTCCCTGTTGAGGTACGTGGCCCAGTACACCAGGTTGAAGGTCCCAAAAAGCACGGGGAACACAATCCTGGACATCTTGTCGATCTTGCTCACGCTGTTGTAAGTCTTTTTGGGGTCCGGGGCCTTGCTTTCAGACGGTTTGAGCTGAATAGTTGTGCTGTTTGAAATGGTGGAAATGGACGCGTCCTTGGTGAGGTTGGCTGTGTAGTTCACACCAGCGGAGCAAGTGTTGTTGGGCTTCATGGACAACGCCAGTGGGTCTTTTTTCTGCGGAGAAAGAGACGAGCTGTGGTTCTAGTAAAACTGTGGTGGTAAATATAGGTAATACAAGTTAAGGCGATACATGGAACAAAAGTAAAATCTGATGACCTGATGCTCATTTTCTAGTAGCTCAGCAAGTTTTGAACAAACTCTTCAAATGTTTAGCTCTGAAGTCCCCATCTTTGTACTTCGACATCAAACCCAGCGTACGTACCTTGGGCTGTTGGGCCTCCATCGCTTTTTTCCCGTCCCAGGCCCAGCTCCTTTTGGTGAAATAATTTACTGTGGCAAATTCAATGAGGGCTGAGAAGACGAAGGCATAGCACACTGCAATGAACCAGTCCATGGCGGTGGCATAGGCCACTTTGGGCAGGGAGTTTCGAGCGCTGATGCTGAGAGTGGTCATGGTGAGGACCGTGGTCACACCTGGCAGTGAGAGAGAAAACTGGGTCAGTCTTAGATATCAGAGTTGCAGTTCTGTTTCTATCACAGCAGATTAGGGCCTGGAAAACAGCCGGCTGCGTAGGAGAGTATTATAAACAGATCACGTAGTAGTAGTAAGAAAAAAAAAAGAAAACTACTGAGAAATATTCAGCCTCTAATCGTGGAAAGAACAGCTAAAGGTCTCTTTGGGAATCCTCCTATGGGTTCTGATGCTCAAACATTTCGACCACTGCGCAGCTCGACCCGTCTTCCAGACTCACCAAAGACGGTTCTTGCTGGCACAGACTCTCGGTTGAGCCAGAAAGAAACCTGGGACAGGATGACAGTCATGAAGCACGGCATGTAGGTCTGGATGACGAAGTAGCCGATCTTCCTCTTCAGGTAAAAGTGGGCCATCATCACCGTGTACTCGCCTGGAGACAACAAAACAGATGGACCGTCATTTCTCCATGTGCTTAAAACAGCACACTCAACTGATGGGAAGAATATGAGAGCTTTCTCGGTTTAGACAGGAAGCTTGTATTTCAGAACTTCAGAATGAATGGGATTGATTGCAGTCATTTTATAGTGAGAAAATGGCAAATGCCTGAAAAGTTATATTTAAACTGTTTGGACAGGTTGTAATGTCACGTAGAGCTGCATACTGAAACCTTTATTTAAAAATAACAAAATAAAAATATGAGTTCCAGTTTGTTTGGCTTTTCAAACTTTTGTTCTTTGTTTTTCAAGTAGTCACTATGAGTTTGAAACGATTAATTAGGTTAATTGTGATGTTTCGATTATTGGAATAATCGTCAACCGATTTAGCAGTCGATTAATCATTAACTGGAGTAGAAAGACTCAAAAAAAATCCCAAAGAACACAATTTGCTGAGAGAACATATTCAGAGCAGTAATTAATCCAGAATTGCACAAAAACATATCAATTTTGCATTTTGATGGCCCACTTTTTAAAAAATACTATATTATTGTACTAAAAGTCAGAAAATGTTCACTTTCTTATATAAAAAGAAATTGAATTATTTGTTTATAAGCATCTTTTGGGTGCATTTTGTAAAACTGTTCAGTGAAAAATCGGTAGAAAGCTTTAACCTGATTGATCGATTAATTGTCAGAATAATCGATGGAATAATTGATTTCTGGCCCTAACTCGCTGCAAGACTCTCACACGTCTCCCCTTCTCGTCACCGCAGGTTTAAGTTTTGTCACTAAAGCTTTGTTTCTGCTTTGTGGAAAACGTAAAGTGGAGACGCCGGCGGGCCCGGGCGACGTTCAAGTCGTAACAGGGAACTACTCCAACATTAATATTTGAGAGTTTGCTCTGAAAACCACAACGCCGTGGTTTGTTTGTTTGTTTGTTTTAAATGAAGGACATGCTCAATCTGTGGAATTTCTTTTCCTTCCTCTCATTAAAGCACCTGCGTGGCGCCCGGCCCGCCCTGATAAACCTTCTCTTTCTGGGTCATCCCGCCGGTAAACTCTGGCGACCCGGGCCGCGCTCACAGCCTCACTCTGCACGCCCTCTCTGCGCAGTTGCTGTTTTTCCATTCAAATGTAGCCCAGATTAAAAAGGGATTTTGAAAAAAAAAAAAAAATTGGCAGATTTCAACGCTCATACAAAACCACACCTTCAGTAACTTCCAGTAGAAATAAACATGACTATTCTCCCCACACTCCCTGTCTAGGATTTTCTGCTTTTAATCACAATACTTTACGGTAATTATTGTGATTTGAGCTGCAACTAACGATTATTGTGGTAACCGATCAAACTAATAATGAAAAAAATGCCACATTGTTCAGCTTTTTCACTTGACCATTCAGACATTATTAGAAATACATTGAACGACACAAATGCAAAAATAACAAAATTCTACTTTTAATTAAGAAAAACATTTTATTGTCTGAAATGTAACACTATAGCATTCCTTCAGAAAATCTGAACCAGGTGAAGTTCAAACTATGACACTGAGGAGTGGTTTTGGTTATAAAGGTGTTTTTATCTTATATACAGTTTTGGCCTCATTACTGCCCTGAATATGCTTTCTTTCTCAGAAAATTACCTTTTTTTTTTTGAGTCTGTACGCTTGAGTTAGCTCGCATTCCACGACGCCCGGCTCCAAGCCAGCGAGCCGGGCTTCTTACCCATTTAAAGTTTGAGAATAGGTTGAGATCGTTTCGGCCCCAAGACCTCTAATCATTCGCTTTACCAGATAAAAAAATTAGCTGACGATTATTGCAATAATTGATTAATCGCGATTAATCCAATAAATTATTCCAGCCCTCATTGCAATGAAGATAAAAGTGATGAGAAAAAAATTTTTGGTAATAGATTGATAACTGAATCTCATCACATTTTCAAAGAAAGTGATATTGAAAGAAACACTCATTGTGAATAATAATAATAATAATAATAATAATAATAATAATAATAATAATAATAATAATAATAATAATAATAATAATAAAATTAAAATCCTGCCTGCACTTGCTGCCATTAAATATCTGATTTTCTGTCACATGATCTGACATTAACCAGAGTTTTCTCCTTTAAATGAGTGATGCATTTATTTTTACAGGGAAAGAAAAAGTAGGTTGTTGGAAGGGGTGGGGGGGGAGAAAAAAACATTGTATCCTGTTAATCAAGTGAAGATTGCATTTGAATGATTTCCTTGTTTTGTGAAATCCTGTCGAGCTGCCGAGTCTGATAAACTATAGAAAATCCACAGATGACTGCTGCTTTCTCCTGGCAAAATCGGATTTTTCTGTCTCGCTAATCCCTTGTCACAATCTGCACTCTCTCTCTCTCTTCCTCCCTCTCTCTCTTTCTATGTGCAAGAACCACGTACATGTGTGTGGGTGCGTGGGTGTGTGACACAGTCCATCCCATTCTGTCAGGCCAGGCCACTCTTGATTGGGGACGTTCATCCTCGCCTCGCCTGAGCGAGACCGCCGAATTGGACCTGGACCGCATGCAGGTGCGAAGTGAGGGTGAAGGAGAGCGAGCGAGAAGCGGAGGGGACAAGACGGGAGCAAAGTTTGGACGGTGCGAGCCATGCAACAGGCGGCGTCATGTCTTCGGTGGAAGGGGTTCCCGGGTCGCCTTCACTCTGTGGACTGGTAGCCTGCAGACCTGCCCTGTGGGCGGGGGGCCACGGCGTGGGGGTCTCTGCTGTGATCTGACCTCACCTGACCTCACTGCCTTCTGGGACTGAAAGTGGATGGAAACCTCCCGGGTGTAAACAAACAAGCAAACAAACAAAACAATGCGGTTGTGGTGGATTTTACTGTCTGGGTTCTGGAGCGTCTGTGGGGAGCTGCCATTTATAGCGGAGAACAACGCGGCCATGCTGGTCAACTGGTGAGTACAGGTCCATCTGTTGGGCTGTGATCTGGAAGCAAGGTCATGCATTTAATAAAATAAATCACAACTTCTGCTCCTGCAGCCGTATTTGCATCCAGTCTGGTTAAACCGGTGGCTTCCACCACGTGTGCGTCCAGCACTGCTGATCTATTCCGGGCCCGCTAAGGAGGGTTTGGACCTCAGAATAGCTCGGCTAATTAAGCCCGTGCTGGCTCTGGGTGACTCGCCTTTACCTGTTCAGGCGGCGCTTTGCTGCGTGTGCAAACGGACCGCACTCTGCAGAACCTGCTCTGATCCAGAGCTTCCCACCACAGATTTGTCTCATAAACTGTTTCTCTTTCGTGCATCATCCGGTGTAAACGGGGCGTAGCGCCTGTTTGCATCTCTGGGAAGCCCGTCTTGCTCTCCCCTCCTCCTTTGTGACAGACTAACAACCAAAAACCAAAAGTATTATTCTTTACATAAGGGAATTAAGCAGATGCTGTCCAGCCCCTCCGTCTCTTCCTCAGCAGCCAATCCCTGCGCTGTGATGTCACTCGGTAAAAGCACAACTGATGGGCCTGCCTACGGATTAACCCTACAGACCCAGTGGCTCAGACCATGGATAAGTGATTTTTTTTTTTGCCCCCCCCCTCACCCCGTCCGCCCCTCCATGCGTCTGCCACCTCTCCTTCTGACAGCCCCAGAGACAGCTGGCTGTGTGTGGGAGGCCCACTCAAATCCTGGAGATTCATTCATTGCCCCCCCCCTCTCCTCCCCTCCTCCTGCCCTTATCCAGCTTGATTTGAAAACCAGGTCCAGGCTGGAGCGACGGTACGACTGCTGAGCTGACTGGCTGCTTTACTTCCTCCAGGTTCTTGAGGGGGTTAAATAAAGCCTGGTGGCCTGCCAGGCTTATAATACACTGAGGGAAACCCTAAGTAATGACAAATAGCCGTCTCTGTATTCAGTGAGTGCTTCTTCAGGTTAAATATTACCAAACATCTTTTCACAGTGATATTATGTGGCAGTATCCAGATATATATAAAAACAAAAACCTGCTTGGATTTGACTGGTGAAACAACATTTAAGCAGACATCTGTTTTCCTGATGGCTCCATATGAGTTTAGTGGGGCCACATAACTGGGTATTGTGGGCCAGATTTGGCCCATATGCCTTGAGTTTGACACATGCTTCACACATGCTTAGGACTGGACAATAAATCAACAACTATAGATTTCAATATACCAATAGATAATGCATCTGATAGAATGTTCAATGATGTCACTGAACTCCGACCCAGAACCGCACAGCATTCTGGGAGATGTATGCAGAGGAAAGGCTTTAGCTCTTAAGCACCCAAGTCTTAAAATTCATTGAATTTGTACATTGTGCCATGATTCCACTCTTGAACTGGACCTCCCCAGTAAACCAGTAAACCAGTAACTAGACATGAGCAGCTCTGAATGATTTTAGCTCAATACTCCAAAGCAAACAATGAGATGTTTACGGGTCTTTGGGTGTAAAAATGCTTTTAGCTTCTTAGGGGAAATTTCTATTAGATTGAGGTCAAAGCTTTGATTTGCCCACATAAGAATATAAACTGTATTCTTTAATCATTCTTTGGCAGATTAAATCGTGTGCTTAGGCTCACTGTCTTACTGCTTGGCCTATTTTCTCCAGAGACTTGTTTCAGTGTCTCAACATTTTGCTTTAGAGTACAGTGGTATGAACCCAGATGTGTTGCTCCAGCAGAGGCAGCAGGTTGTCGGGGCCAGGAAGCAGCAAAGCAAAGTGCAAGGTCAAGGATAGAATTATAAAGACATCATCTTAAAAAAGTTTCCAGAAAACTTTTATATTCATTCTTCAGCCTGATCAATGAATCTGTTGGCACCGACAGACTGCAGTAGGTGGAGTTCACCTGTGTGCCACTTGATCTCCATGCATGATCTGCACAGCGACTCGGAGATCGAGGAACACAGCTGACACACCAGGGAGAGTTGTGGGGTAGTTTAAAACAACAAAAACAACAAAACAACATCTCACAGAACGCAGATCAATCCATCAGCAGTCAGAGAGCGGTACAGCGACCAACCTACCAGAACAAGGCCGTCTACCTAAACCGAGAAAAAGGGCGAGGAGACCATAAATGCTCCCACACACTTTATCCGACACGCCGTTCTCGTTAACACAGACGCATGATGAGCATTTAGTTCGCAGAGCAGCATGCGCCCCTTGAACCGGACACCAGGCCTGGGTCAGTGCTCTAGAGCTGGAGTGAGTTTACGGTCTGTCCGCTGTACCCCGACTGGTGTAGATCTCCTCCGTTCCCGCCGTCTGGCCGATCAGGTGGTACTGGTTGAGCCTCGAGCCTTCCTCTGCCACCACCACAGACTTGGCTGCGTCCTCGGTCCACTTGTAGATCACTTCTGAGACGGGGTAGGCATCTAGGAGAGAGGAGACGATCCTACAGGTTCATAATCGAATATGTAACTGATCATGATCCATTTCATTTATGTTTGAGATTGTAACGTTTCTTGTCCTCCTCCATTTCATTTCTTGTTCTTGGTTGTCGTGTTTTTACTTTGAATATTCAAAATGCCTTCCAGCTCCATCGTTGAGTTCTTTACTAAATTAAACTTCATTAATGTTTATTATGTTATCAGTCTATCAAAAATGGTCTCAAAACAACATTTATTGCTATAATTAGTGGGAAAATTGGTCGTCAAACCAAATGTCTTATCGTGACAGGCCTGGTTTAGAGGTAATATTCCTGGATTACGTTTGAAACAAAATGGCTTCTTTTAAACCTTCCTTCGTATAAAAACATGGAAAGCGTAGACGTTTGGTTTGAGGCAAGAAAAGATTTTTCTTTAACATTTTTAGGACAACGTGTATATTTCAAGCTTCTAGCATTAAAAATGCTGTTTAATCGTGGTTAATCGCAGCGCTGGACTGTGACGAATCTGATTTAAAATTTTTATTGACCGTCAGCACCAGCCTGGACCGTCAATTATCAAGACGCAAAATATTTCAGCTGCATTTCTCAGCCTCCGTCACATTTATTGGCATCCCTGGTGAAGATTTGCTGAAATTCTTGTTCAGGAGGGTAAACTTCCACAATTAGAAACAATTGTTTTTAAAAGAATCATGCTAGTTGTATTTGCTTATCATCAAAGTGAAAACTTGACTGAAGCTTCGTTTATTTCTATTTTACCCTTTTGACCTGATCTGCGTTTCTTGACATTTCTAACAAGCCACGTCTTCCTGTGGTGTAAAGTTGACATGAACGCAGCATCACAGCAATAACTAAGAAGTAACAAGAGAGGACGTCCAGCTGTCTTATACTTTGGATTATCTCGTCCTGCTTCTCTTCCAAAGGTCCTAAACACCTTGTTGAAGAATCCAGCATAATTGACTCTTAAATAAAACACTGAAAACAATTTGGCATCCGATTATTAACATCTGTATTGGTATTGGTTCTGACAACAGTTCTAGATCCGGTGTGGCAATGTTTTATAATTCACTTTGCACCATATTTAAAATTCCTAGTTGCCCTTTCTGAACCATTTGGAAAGTTTGTTGCAGTTTATTTTTTGACCAAATGTAGGCAACCTATTGTTTTTGTAAGTTTCATCATTATTTATTTTGCATTTTTAATCGCACTGACTGAACAAATTCAAGTCGTTTTTACATGCTTGACCAAACCTGTGAAGCTATTGGTGCATTTATGAGTGCTTTATTGGTGCAGACGTAGCAAATAAATGTGTAATTCTGTACATTTATGTCTCTGCTTGGGAAAATAAACGTCTGTTTTTCTGCATCCGATCGGTATCGGCCAATACTAAACCTCAGATATCTGTATCGGTATCCGAAGTGGACAAAAGTGAATCGGTGCATCCCTGTAGAATATTAACCCAACAATATTAACAAATCAACGCTCAATAAATAAAACACCACAATAATATAAAACAAGCACACAAAAAAAACCCTTGTGGGTTTATCTTATGAGAGGATGCTCTTATGTTGTGGTGGGCCGTTTTTACATGTGGATAAATCTTACTTTAGGCCAAAAACTAACAGCATCTAAGATTTAATTCTGAACCCTTCCTAGTGTCAATATTAGCTTCTCCTCCTCCACTGATAGACGTTACGTAAAAACTGAGCTGCAAATCACCTCTCCAAATGTCACTATGTATTTACATGGCCCCTGGACGCATCCGTGAGGGAAAATAAAGTTTGATGAATGATGTATTACGTGAGTGTCGTTATGTAACGGATATGTTTCTCACAATTTCCAAATACTACAGGTGCACTGTAATATTTAATCCTGTGTTCAGCAGATGAATTAATGCCGATCCATCCTTCTGCCACGACGTGGAGCTTAAAACGCATTAAAGTCACGGATATTTACACTCAGATTCACCGATACACTCATAACCACCATGGAAAATGTCCATAGTTTATGTAAATAATATTCTTATTTGACGGTAGGAACATTCAGCTGAAATGCTCTGCTAAAATGCTGAATTAAGAAAAACAGTTTTTTAGAAAAATGAATATTTTTTAAAAATCACTAATGTTGTGCAACTGCACTACTTACAGAAAACCTTCAGAAACCGAGAAAAACAAAGCAAGAGGCTGAAAGCCTTTAGGCATCGAATTCAAATAAAACATTACAATAGTAAAACGGTCAAGTTTTCCTTCATTTTCTCTCAACGTCACTCAAGATAAAAAAATAATAGCAGTACCCACCATTGCATTTTACATTATAATAACCACTTATTTTCTCCTGTTGTGCATATTCTGGGACCCAAAACCTTTTTCCACGTGGCTGAGAGAAACTAAACCAGCCAATTTTGTTTTTAGTGAGACAACTGAGAGGCTAAAAGATATTTTCTCTCCGAGCTTATAGCTCCTCTAATTAATCAACTTTTTTATCTCGACAAACTCCTAGCACCATCAAGAGCGGACGACACAAACCAGTAATATTAAATATTCAACACAGTAAGCAGATTTTTTTTTTTTAATTCTCATAAATTTACTTGACTGCTTCTGACTGGGGCTAATTCTTGATGCTGCTAAATATCTTTAGATAAAAAAAATAAATAAAAAAATCAGTCATGGAGATATAAAAAGTTAACGTAGAGATGGCCGAAAACAGAAAGTTGTGAGAGGGAAAGCAGACCGGCCACTATGACCTAATAGAAAAATAAATAGCAAAATAATAATAATAATAATAATAATAATCATCATCATCATCATCATCATACCCTTTCACAAAGTCACATAAGATCTTCTTATAGTAACATAAAAAGCAGAAAAAATAGGGATCTAACTGAAGAGTAATGTCTATAGTTTCCAGCCTCATCACTCAAAAAGGCCTTAATAAATTAAAATATGCCTTTCAAAATTTTACTGATTCATGCAAAAATATCTAAAGCGTTGCATTTAAAACTAGACGAGCTGCTTTAAGTTCTTCCTTTGGCCTTCATGTACCTATTTCTACATAACGTCTGGTCAAAGTTATTAATAGCCACTGTGAAGGGGCGGCATTAGAGCTGCAGGTTGTAGACTCCTGGGTTAAAAGCCATTACATAATGCGTCTTCAATCTGCACTACAGAAAAGACACAGTCTTGACCTACAAAGCATCTGGGCCTGTTGAATGGCAGACCTGATAAAAAGAAACGCATGATTTCATGTCCCTGGTTGGTTTGTGTCAGATGATCCTCGACATTAACCCGTGAAAAGTTTCGTTTCGCCACAAATTCTGCACAAGCACAGCAAAAGTGCTCCTCGGAAGCGGGTCGACGTTCACAGATGTGGAGCACGTTCACGAGGAAGCGGGTCTGGTTTCGCAGCTTGCATCGCTGGCTATTTTTTGCCGTGAACTTGAGAACAAACGAGTGGAAGCGCGGCGTCAGCAAAGCCAGGCAGGTGCAGCGGCTCCTCCACAGTCAGCCGCGCGCCGTGACCACAGAGTCTCTCACAGCCTGTGTTCCGCGAGACATCACGCTGCTCATAGGAGGAATGACGGGCAAATTCCTTCATGTTTCGCTTTTTTCTCTGCAGGGCTCAATTATTTTACTCACAAACTATGGTTAAACACACAACAAAAAAATTTTACCCTAGTAATTTTCCAACCTCGCATCCAGTCGAACAACATGTGCGAGTCTCTTTGCAGGCCCTGCTTCATTTTTGGACATTTAGACACGTTTGCGTGTGTTTTGCTGTAATTATATGAAACAGATAATGTAATACGAGGAACAGCAGTACGCTTCAAAACGGCCATTTAGAACCGTAAAGGCAAGAGTGTTGGATACAGAGCAGCAGTTCTTAAAGGCTTAGAATGACAAAAAAAAAAACATGCCGACATGCAAAATCTGTCTATGGTATCGACGCACGTTTTAAAACAGAGCTACAATGATTTTGTCAAAAGACAAACAGAAAAACAGCAACATAATTGTTTTGATCCATCTTTACTGTCAATCAAAATATGCAGTTAATTGAACGCTCCATTTTTGCTCAAAAACTGGAAATTTCTAGGTTTTAAATTGGAAAAGTGAATCAGAGGTTCGTTAGGGATAAATTCCCATCTCAACTCTCCGACCTCAAAATCCAAGATGGCTCCCTTGCATATAACACCTGTGTTAGCCTCAGTTTTGAAGCGTCACCCTGTAAAATAAACGACAACATAAAACATATTATATTACTGGAGGTTAAATTAGATTAAGTCAGGCTTGATATGGCAACTTTAAAGGTAATTAGTTGCCTACAGTACATGCTCCTGGTTAGATTTTGTTCTCAAAATGAATAAAATTGAAGTTCTAAGTTAGGTTCAGGAACTATTGTCTTTCAGGAAACCTTTCGTTAAGCTGGCAGGATGCGGCTAGCTCTAAGTTTAGCTGTCCCAAATAATGTAAAAAGTTGCCTATTTAGCAGATGTATGTTATTTCTAAAAGTTTGAGCCAAAGCTTTAGGTTTCCGAGTTACATCAGTTTTTCAGAGTGATGCTACGGTGATGAGCAGAACTCATGAAAAGAGTCTCATGTCACTGGGCTACCTGGCCTGTCTAAACTACTTTAAACATAGAAAACTGCTCTATTATGACTGTTGTCATGTCTTGAAACAAATTCTACATTGAATTTAGGTCAAGACAGTGACCTTAAACATACAGGCTGTTAGCATACAGTCAAGGTCAACCATCTGCCCTTCAACTCTGACCAAGTTCCCTGCTTCTGTTTAAGAAACGCGTCCCCCACCGCCGTGTGGCGGTGATGTGCAAAACACGACACTTTGTTTATCGGGTGGATTTAGCTCTCGTCTTCTACATGCTTTCCTTGTTGTAAATTCGCTTCACCTGGTTTTCTTTAAACAGTGGCCTTCTTCTTGCTGCAAAAAGTCAACAGACACTCTCACCTGCTCTGTGGATCTCCGACGTAAGCCTGCCTCAATAAGCAATTGATCGATTAATCGCATGATAAATTCAAATGAACTAGATGTTATCGAAGGTCAATTTTGGGTACAGAGATTGCATAATGCGTTTTATTTCTGGTTTCGTTTGTTCGTGGTTTTAGTTTCCACTTTACTTATTGTTTTTGGTTGTTGTTTTTTATATGATATATTTAAAATATCTTCCACTTCAACTCCTAAGTGTTCTTTACAAAATATGTAAAGTTTTCTTTTTTTGTCTTTTGGTCAAAAGTCTTTTGGTCTTCGAGAGAAACAACTTGCACCGTCGCACCATGTTACTTGAAAATGGGCTCAATACAACCATATTATTGTTAATGCAGTAATTACTGGAGCAATTTATCGTCCAAGAGACTCAGGTAACCATGAGTTACTTCCATAACTCTATAGTTTAGTTAGACTTTTCACTTTTTTGTGTGTAAAAAAAAAAGAAAACAAAACAAAAAAAATAAAAAATACAATTCTTCTACTTTACCCTTATGTGTTACTTTGTGTCCATCTGTAAATAAACTTTAAATAAAACACTAAGTTTTATTTAATGCGCAGACTAAGAGGGAATAATTGTCGCCAACCAAGTTTGACGTAAATGGAAGTCGTCCTCACAATACGTGTGGGGCCAAGCGCTTCTGTCCCTCTCAAACTCTGCCTTATAAATCACTAAGCAGTTTGACGGACACAAGTTACAGCAGAAAGAGAACGAGGCTGATGGAGGCAGAGTTCAGTCCATGAAAGGTGATTAACTCAGCGCAAAAGGACAGGTCTACTTTTGCTTTGAAAGCCTTGAGCTCCTGGGTTAGTGCTGTCCATTAGGTCAAAGGATTAGCTGAGGTTAATGGAGTTTGAGGAAACAGGATATACGGCCAAGCAAATTTTACAGCTACACAACCGCAGAGTGCCGAGGTATCAGTGCTCAAAGTGGAGCTTACACTTCCTTTTAAGGCCAGTACAAGACGTCTTGTGACAAGACATGTTGCTCTCCACCTTCAATGTATAGAGTGTACACTTATCTCATAGCTGCAGGGTATAAATGTAGTGAATATTGCTGTGAATGCAACTTATGGTGTCCTGCAAGTCTTTCTAACCATATGTCTGTCTCGTTCATGAATATGTCTTGATCCAAGCCACTACATTGTGGGTCGGTGTGTAACGTTCAGAGTCTTTTGCAACGACGAACCACTTTCTTCCAGGATTGCTCTTAGTTCCACCAATCGACGCATTATCTCTGACCTGCTTCATGATGCTGCCACCACCATGCCGCTCCGTGTAGCCTTCAGGGCGATGTACAGTGTTTGATTTCAAAGCCTTCTTTAAATGTCTGCAAAATCTTACAACTTGCTTAAGGCGACGACTTTCTTTCTGCTTCTCTTTTTAGAAACGCCAGATCTGTGAAACATTATAATTGTCCTTTCAGTTGATCTGTGGATTTCTATAAGTCCTCCTGGTCATTCTCATGGTCTTCTTTGCTGCTCTCCTGACTAATGCTCCTCCACCTGCCAGTTCAGGCCGACCGCCATGTCTTGTTGGGCTTGTACTTGTGTCAAACTCTTCCAGTTTTTGGCTGACTGCTTGAACATCGTTCTGTGACATTTTCCCTCTGATTTCTTCCGTCAAGCGCCAAAGTCTTTTGGATGCTGTTGGGGAACTTTTGAAGCCTTCGCAGAACAGCTGAATTTAGTTTGAAGGCAAATTGTAGAAATGGATATTATTTATGGGTATCTCTTCTTTTTGAGATGTGATTAAAAACCCGCTGGATGGAAAGTCATTCGGTGAGTTCGGATCGGCTGAAGCGGCACCAAATTACGGTAAAAGTCACCACGGGGCAACATACAAAAAAGGGAAACGGGTTTAATTCAAATCCAATTATACACAGTGCAGTTCAGTCCATTTACAATCCAATCCACTATGCACAGATTGAGCAAATTCAATTTTCTGGCTGAGAAGTCTCTTTCACTGTTGTTATTCCGTCTTTGCCTACAAGAACCATAAACCTCCTGGATGAGCTGGAAACAACTGGGATAAAGTGAACTGAATTGACAGTAATCCATCAGAAATTACAGCCAGACTGAGTCTGAAGTCCACCAGCCAAAGCCCTGTGTGCTTAAAGTTAAGATGAAGAGCAAAGGCGGCGTGATGAGCGTTCTCGCCGGCGGCGTTACAGACAGAGTGGAAAGGAGCCTTGGTCCGATTATCCCCACCTCCGCGTGGATAAAGTGGGCGTGGCAGGGGGTAAAAGTGGTGTGAGGCCCGGGATCACCCTCCATACGTCAGAGGCAGGGAACACTTTAAATGATCATCTTAAGCCTGCCGGGCAGGAACTTCCCAGATCGTTTTGGAGCTTTGTGAATCGATGTTGCAAAGATGTTGCAAAGTGTACAACTGAAAGCTTAAAGGTTGAGTGGAAAGCTCTTTATGTTTCCGTTTTCTGAGCGTGTGCACATGTTCACAGATACTGAGTCTTATTTAGTTATTTATTTTTGGAACATGGCAAATAGGTCAGGGAGAAAGACAGAGTTAAGTTTAAACTAGTGGTGGAACTCAATTTTAATCAAAAATAATGATTTAATTTGATTTGCTTTATTTGGTAGGGACAACACACATTAACTGGCATTTCTGTAAGTGTGCCAGAATTTGCCAAAAGGACATTTTGAACAATTTGCCCAGTTTATCTTGTTAAAAACAAAGGCTTTGCAAACTAAGTTAGAATACCGTGACTGCGCTAATATTGTCAATTTAAAAAAAAAATTGCAATCACTACAAATAATACAGACAAAACAAGAATATAATTAAGAACACACAAAAAAAAACACATTTATCATAAAACGTATGAGAAGTCATTAAAACTAAATGAATCCATTTAGATGAGAAAACACAAGTGGTCCCATGAAGGCACTAGGAGAAAGTACTTAATTAAAATGTTGAATAATAACAAGCATAATTCATCACATTTTAATCCAAAACCATATTTTGATAAAATAAGCAATATTTTCAATGAAAAAAAAAATTTTTTGTGCTGCTAAACGATTGCGTAAATAAGCATATATGCGCTCAACAACAAAGATATTTGAATTTAAATTTTTTTTAGACGATTTTTTTGTAAAAAAAAAAAAAAAAAAAAAAAGAAAAGTATAATTTTCCCTCCACTTCAAATTCCTTGAACGTCACTTAAAGTTTGCAGTTCTGACGCAGCAGCGTGCGGGAAAACATGACGGGTTTTCTGCAGTAAGCAGAGGTGAGGTGGGATAACGGAGGAGGCCGGGCCGCAGCGCTGACATGTTGATTAATGGCTCAATCAGGAGGAGTGTGTCAGAGTCTAAATGGTTGTCTCCTGCACCACCACAGCAGCTCTGCACCTGAAGGATGAGGGCTGTCACACTCTGAGCTGAGCAGCATAAAGACCCCGAAACCAAAGCAATGTCAAATCGGCTCCTGTTCAGATGCCCTCGTGCATCCCGCTATGGCTTATATTCCTTTTCCTGTCCTTCATCTGGTAAAGAAGCAGGTGTGTGGGCATGTGTGTGTGTGTGCGTGTGTGTGCGCGTGTGTTTGGCAGGAGGTGGGTCAACTCACAGCTTCCAAACTTAAGGGGACAGGCGTGGGCATCCATGGGGAAATCTTCCAGCTGCATGGGGCATTCTGCTGAGATGGTGAGCCTGAAAGAGGAAACCCAGATTCAGAAACTGAGCAGAGATGTGACATGTCGTTTTCGTTTCTTTTTTTTTTAAAATAATAATGACCTTGTTTTTCCCTGAAATACATATAAACACACTGTGTGAAACGATAGAGAAATAATCCTTATTGTTCTACTCGGTAGCAATAAATAACCACCAGAGGAACTTTGGTACAGCTAGAAATAACAGGCTGGTGCAGCTTTGGGTGTGTGGAGTTTCCACCTATCTGTGGAAAGGAAACAAATGAGCTCCAAGCCTCGTGCAATGCCGCCCTCTGCTGGCTGCGTCGTGAACATCTTCAGTTTCTGGTGTGCTGGAGTCAAAAACACAGCGGCTTGCAAAAGTATTCATACCCCTCGAACTTTCCCAGATTTTTGCCACATTGCAACCAGAAACAAAAATATATTTTAATGTAATTTTTTGTGAAAGTCCAACACAAAGTAGCATACAATCATGAAGCAGTAAGAACATTATGCATGATACGCATGAGAAATGGGGGCTGAATCCATAAAAGCACTGATGGATGGATGGACAGATGGATGGAAGGATGGATGGACGGATGGATGCAATCGACTTTAACAACAGAGAGAGAGTAAGAAAGTAGATGTTTAATTAAGGAATTTGATAGATATTCTGGTTATTAATTTATAGGTGATCTCTGGTCATTTAAAATTATTTCACAACTCCACTGGAAGCATAACAAATTAGAAATATTTGCAGTCGAAATCAGATACTGTTTGATACCAAACCAGAAGAAAAGATTGATCTTACAATTGACAGAAAATTTCAAAAGCTTTTTGCACAACAAACATTCTCTCAGTAATCGGCAGTAATGGTTTGATATTTGTAAGATAGAGAACTTGGTTGAAATGTGCCAAATTTACTATTTTGTGACCTTAGGAAATAAAGACTTTAAATTTTTCGAAGCACAAACACGGTCCTCTCATCACCTCTTAGGCTGATTGTAAAGTCGAAGTCTGCAGTGAAGATAGAAAGCTGCTGTTTAATTCCGACTTCACAAAATTAATATTTCAACTCTGAGTGAAATTGATTTGATTAGAAATGATTGATTAGAATATATAATGACTCAGCTTCCATTAGTCATAAGTTCAGAACTGGCCTAAAAAAAAAGAAAGAAAAAAACCCCATAACCAATCAAAACAGAACACACTACTATGGAAGTCAGAATTACAAAAAAAATAAAATAATTGCAATTTCTTTTGATACACACGGTGTGTAGTGGAAGGTGTTGCACAGCATCAACTGGAACTGGACGTTTCCTGAGAGAGAGTTTTTCACGCCAGAGCAGCTGCGTCTCTGCAGACGACAGTATTTGCTCTCTGAAGCAGGGAAGAAGAGAGCAACGCGTGCGTACCATGTTTCTGTAATAACCTCGTTCACAGAACACAAACCCTGTGACGGGTCGTGAGCTCATGTGTTCTCGGTTGCTCCACTGGGAAAAACGTAGAGTAAATATGAAGGAGTCAATCATCTTTTTTTTTTTTTTGACACACAGCCCAGTTCATCTGCTCATGCTTTCCGAAGTTAATGTTTGACTTGGTCGATTTCTGGTTGTGAAAGGATGATGACCCAAAACTGAAATGCAAGTTTATGCCTCTCCTTCTATTATTAATGATGCTTATTAAAGCTGGGAGAGGGTGTAGCGCAGCGCTGCGTGTGGCGTTGTTGTGTTTAGATCTGTCCCAGGTTGTCTCAGTAGTTCTGACGATAATGTTGTTGTTTTGAGACCATTTTCGAGTGATATAATAGTAATGCTGAAATGATGCAAGCAACACATTCTCAAAAATGGATAAACCTTAAATTCTAATAAACTTTTAACACTAGACCTGGAAGATATTTTGAATATCTAAAATGAATGGAGAGAAACAACTAAATAAAAGAAGACTTAATAGAATAATAAAGTACCTGTAAGAAAAACTGTCCTTAAATAAAACGGGCAACTTGAGATCAAAGCACCAAACTGGACACTTTTTTTTATCCAGTTTTTGGTAAAAAGAAAAATGAGAGAATAAAAAAACAAAACATGAATCACGCAAATGTAAATTATTCAGCTCGTTTCATGACACAATGCGATTCATTGATGCGTTACTTATTGTGACAGGCTTTCTTGTGTTTGTATAAAGCTTTCACAAATCCAGCAACACATTCACAGCGTCTCGCACCCGTCAAACCGTTTCACCGTTTGTCACATCGCAACCACAAATCGATACGTTTTAATTTGATTTCATGCACTGGACCAACACAAAATAGCATGTAACTGTGAAGTGGCAGGAATGTGTGGCTTTCTGGGGTTTTGACAAATAAAATCTGAAAAGTGTGGTGTGGACTTGCTAGACAAGTTTTGCACGTGTAAAATACTTCTTGTTCACACATGTTCACAAATCTCAAAGGCCTTCAGAGGAAAGTCTTTTTATCAAGACTATTTACTGATGAACTGACTCATATTAGGGATTAAATTTATTAACCTGACAGGCTGAGATGTTTCATGATAAACTCCAAACTAATGATGTTTTAAAAAAACATAATGTAAGTTTTGCTATTTTCTGTTCAATGAGAGAATCAATAGATATTATTGCATTTGAAAATGTGATTAAGTGCGATTGTTGTGCGTCGTTCAGGGATGCACATCACATTTCTTCTGTATGTGTGGTGTCCTAAAGCAGCATATCTTTTTCAAGAGCAGTATTTGTATTTATGAGGCTGTAATTGTATGAGTAACTTGAAAAAAAGTAATGAGTAGTTCTTATCGTCATTTTTATTGTTATCACACTAGCACCAAAAAGTATTGTGATAAAACGTTCAGTCTGCACTGCCCACATTCTGAAGGGAAATTAGTTGCGTTGGACTAACTCCATATCAGAATAAGGAGGAACAAAGACAAATGAAGATCTTAAGTGTAAGAGTTTTTAAAACCTCTCTAATTCATGGCTAAGTGCTAGTTTGTGATGATCTGTTAAATAAATATAAGGATTATATTCCTGACTGTTTCTGAGTTTCCAGAGCATTATGAAGAAGAAAACATAAATAAATATATATGTCTATCTGTGTGTTAAAAAGGTAACTATTGTGGAGCTACGGAGAGTGAGGAGGGTCAAAGCAAACACTTAAAATTTGCCTGCCCCCCTCCAGTTCAGAGTACGGGGACAACCACGATGATGCGTCAGTGCCGGGTCGGCGAAAACAAGTGTGTGGGCTGTTTTCAGTGCAGCGGTGCTCCAAAAAAAAACCCACTCAATGCAAAGAAGCAGCAGGTAGAGGTTTTAGTCAACACAACATTTTTCACTCAGCGCCGACCAATCAACAGCTGCGTTTCCATTACAAACGTGAGAAGCAAAGGTTGTCGATTTTCTGCTAATGTCAAAAAACAACACAATTTAACGTGTGTGGTGTTAAATAAGGAATAATATCAAAGGCAAGTTGTGAATAAGTTTGTCCACATGATATGTCATTGAAAATCACGCCTCCATCTGCTTCCTGTTCGTCTTCTTTTTCGTCTTCTTCAGCGGCGACATCCGGTTGTTTGTCGTGTGTCTCGTTTGATGTGAAAAAAACCGTCTCCTTTGCCGTTTCGCAAAACAAACCAATTTCAATACGGCCGCAGAACCGCTTCATACTAGAGGCAAAACTTTTCATCGAAAAACAAGTTTTCTTCTGTAATTGAAGCATTTTCTTTAAGTAAACTTAATTTCAAAATGTGAAATTGTGCGACTTCATGTTGAATGAAGAGGCAGCCTGTGTTGTGGAGTGCAAAGCCTGATTGAAAAATAAACAGTTGCTGCCTTTCCATTGACCACGTAGTTGCGCGATTTGACATTTCAAAGAGAAATCTGCTTGATGGCAACAAATCAATTTAGAAAAAAAGTTGTTTTTCAATAAGTTTTGGTGCTGGGATGAGGTTTGTCTTGTGAAACTGATCAAATCTAGTGAAACACCAATCACATCACACAAACCACATGATCAAAAATCAGACGTTCTACTGGCGCGAACCACAAAGAAGACAACAGAAAGTGGTAGGAGGATGATGGCACATTGTGATTTTTAAAGACTTATTGACTGAACAAACTAAGCTACATGGGATTTTAGTGGTGGGGTCTTATTCAATGGAATCACCGCATTTGCAAAATTGTGGTTTTTTTCCCTTGTTGTCAGAATATCGACAAACTTCTGAGCACATTTGCAGTCGAATCGCAGGCCCTGGTGCGGCAGCAGGCCGGTGGCCTGAGAGCCCACCTCATGGTGTAGAGGAGCGTCCCGTCGTCTTTCAGCCGCAGCAGCTTGTTGGGCGTGGTCATGTTGTGCGCAATGGACTTTTTTCCGTTGAGGAAAAACGTGTCGGGGGTCCAGATGTTGCTGGCCAGCAGGTTGTTCAGGGCCAGCATCTCCATCGGGCCTTTGAAGCAAAGCCTTTCGTCTTTCCAGCTTTGACGGAAGAAAACGTCGATGGTGTATTCCTGTGGAGAGAAGCTTCAGTTGCACCGAAATGGAACTTTATGTGGACGTGAATAATGTAGGCTTCGCCTCTGATTGGGCAGATTTGTACGAGAGCAGACGTTTTCCCTGATGTTTTTCTGGAGAAAACAAATTACTCTTGAGAAAACAGAGATTCGAGAACACAAGACTATTGGTGTGTGTGTGTGTTAAACTTGACTCTAATGTCAGGTTGTCCTCGATCTGACATTGTCAGCTTGAGTTTGTTCTTGCCGAGGTTTTAAGGACACCGAGAAATTGATCGTGAGCATTCAGGAACACATTATCGTCTCCTTGTCTTGCAAAAGTGGTCATTGTTACTGTGTGATAAAGACACACACATCTCATTAACTCAAGAACAAATGCTACTGAGCTCAGCTTTCGTACATTTGAGGCATAATTTATATAAAGTAAAACGTTTAATAAGAACTACGGTGTGAAAGATTTATAAAAAGAGCTAATCTGGGAGGAAAATAAATTGCGTACCATTTCCGTGTCGGAGACCGGACCGAAGCTTGTGACAAAGATGTTGGTTTTGATCTCCGTCACCTTCTCTGTTGGAAAACACAGAAAATTATTACATAATTATTAAATATACAAATAATTATTATACATATGAATCCCATTATTAAAGTGATGGTATGTCGATTAATCCTAATGAGGTTAACCTGGATTTTTTTACTGACTCCACAGGTGTTGTAAGTTGTGGTGTTCCTCAAGGCTCTATCTTGGGGACATTTTTTTGTGTGTGTGTAGTACTATGTATTCCTCGAACACTGCATATGCAGAGAGAATTATTTTTGAAACTTTTTAAAATTCCTTTTCTCAAGTAATCCCGGAAAAAATCATTTAAACAGTTGGAGTGATCATTTCTACAAAAAAGAAAAAGAAAGCAGGTGATGTGCAGTCCTTAAGTCAAGTAAGATAAATTCTGAACAACATTAAAGAAGAGAAAACACGGTCAGTTTTCAATCTGTGACTGTTGTCAGCTGTTCAAAGTGTGGCAAACGGACCAACTCTCTGTCAAAGATATTTCTTACAACTCTGAAGCATAGCAACCCTAAAATCAGGGATCAGGAATGTTTTCCTCCATCATCTGACATCAGGAAGTGTTTGTGTTGGTTTTTTCCTGGGAATTCAGCAGCCAGAAATCTTACTGGGACCGGAAAAAAAGCAACAAAATCACTGATGTTGGCCTCTTGTTAAGCACAGAATCAATTCAGAAAAGCTCTAGTAAAAATACATATTTTAAAATACATTGGATGAATTTTTTCAATTCACCAAAATTGTATCGTCATAAATAATAAATGAATAAGTCATTCCAAAATAGAGGCCAGAGCAATAATCGTAAATATACTTATAGTACATTCATAATTAGCCAGACTGCAAGTATACAAACGTATTATGCTCAGTGCATGTGTCAAACTGAAGGTCTGGGGGCCGAATTCGGCCCACCATAACTTTTTATGTGGCCCTTGGGACTCTAGGGCCTTACAAAAACAACTTTAAAGATACGTTGTGCTCTTAAATATTATTTTATCAATCAAATCCAAGCATTTTTATATTCATACAACCCAATTGCATGATTGTGAAAAGATGTTTTTAATTTCAAAAATGGAAAGCAGAGACAGCTACTCAATAATACTTTTAGTTTGTTACATAGTTTTATCAATACACTCTGCCACAACCGGCCTTTTCAGAAAATTCATGACAGTTACTGTAGTTTTTCTTTCCTTTAAGATTTTTATTGTCTTGTTTTGGGGTTGGGGATGATAAAACTATCCAGCATTTAAATCAATTACATTAAAAAAAGAAAACAGCCTATGGGATAGTCTTGTATACTAGTATATGGCGCCCCATGTACTGAGACATTGGCCCTTGTTCCAGCTGTCTGGGAGTCAGTTCCCAACCCTGGGTCCTTTGCTGCATGTCTCTTCCCTTTTCCTGTCTTATTTCCTGCAAATAAAAGTCACCAGTGGCAGAAAAACCTCTACAAATCTAATTTAGTTTGACTGAAGCATGCAGACTCTGGTGACACCTAGTGGTCGCAATAAAAAAGACACTTAAAACTGATTATTTGCAGCATATTGTCACCTTCATAAAATAATGGCCCATGGCATTTTAGTCTTGCCAAAGGATAATTTAGGGAAACAAACAAACAAACAAACAAAGATTTCGGCCGTTGTATTAGGAAGGCGGAAAAAATATTAGGAAGGTGGAAAAGTTGGAAAACAGACTTTTCCAATTTTATTCAAGGCCTGAAAATGTCAGTTCTTTTTATTCCCTAAATGCTACAAAGCATAATAGAAAAATGTTTCATTCTCCAGTTTCATTTTGATAAAGTTTTAGTTTAAAACTAACAGGAAGGTAAGGATTGTATCCATTGAGCTGAGTTTTACTAAAATGAAACTGAAAAGTGCATCACAGATAAGCATATGGTTTAAAAAAACGGTTAAAGTTCTTAGTTTTATGTATTTAATGAACAGAGGGAAAGAAAGTTGATCTTTCATTCTTTGACCACACTATTATGCCTCATCACCAGTAAAAATTAAAACAAAAATAGCTTTTTTTTTTTTTTTTTTTTGCAAAACCAGAGCTGCTTTGCAGTCACACTGATGTTAGAGCTCATTGAGAGAAGGTCTGATCAGACCAGCTGCGTCTCATGTCACATTTCTTCTTCTGCAGAGATCAAACCGCGGTTTCATCAACACCTCCTCTCCCTGCAGTAATATTCAAGCAGTCCGATAAAAAGCCTGTAACACAATGAGTTGTAATGGCTTATTGATCCAGCGGACTCACCTCCCAGACCGGGCCGGAGTCTGTTGTCGTAACCGTCCAGCAGTCCGTCCAGGATGCGGGTGAAGATGGTGATGTTGTCATTTATCTCCGCCTGTTTGGGGGTTCCGGCTAAATCCTGGGAGAGACTGGATGAAAGGCAACTTTTTGTTGTAGTTGGTGTCTTATTTATTTCTTTTTTCTTTTTTTTTTTAATGATAGCCTCTGCAATACGTAAACATGCCAGAAACTCGGTTCCTCACCTCAGACGGCAGGTGATGCTCACAAGCAAGACACAGAAGCATAGACGTCTCATTGCAACGCTGAAGCACATCCCATTGCCCATTCCTGAAAATGCACACACACACACACACCCACACACGCACACACACGCACACACACACACACACACACACACACACACATAGTGGTGGCTTCAGCATGAATGGTGCAACAATAAGGATTCCCAAAATCAAGTAAAACAACAAACTGCGTCTTATAATTCAGAACTCAGTGAAGAATAATTCAGGTGAAATTAGAGCTGTCTATATATGTGGACATTTTTGAAGAATAAACATGGATGAAGTTCAGTTTTCAAAAAAAAATGGATGAAGTTTAGTTTTCAAAACAAAAAACAAAAAAAAACACAGAACTAGCCCTTTAATTTGGCACCGATTTATAAAATCAGATACCAACTTCAGCAGCAGCAGAGTTCACACTGGATACACTGCAAAAGGATTGTCAACAACAAAACACGTCAGTGGCTAAGATTTTTTTGTTTGTTTGTTTTTTAAATTATTTCAATTGATTGTCACTTTTTTTTTGAGACAATGTGATTTAGGTAAAAAAAAAAAAAAAGACAAAGGCCATTATTTTAGGATGTCATAGTTGACAGATTTGTTATGTTCGTTGTGTTGCTGCCCCCACAGTCCATGCCGCTCTGGGCAGAGAGCCATGCTGACATTGCCCCCTGCATGCTTTTAGCATGGGAATTTCACCAGCAGCGCGGTTCAGTAAGTGTTTTATCTCTGAATAAACTAGATTAGATTTGATATCTCTGCAAAAAAAGAAAAAAGAAAAAAATAGAAAAAAGAAAAAAATCCTGTTTTTGTTATGCCAAATTTCTAAAGGAGGATTAATTCGCACATAGGATTACGCTGATTTCATTTTTTGACTGTCTGTTTGTTTGTTGATATATATAAATATAATGGTGTAAAAAGGATGGAGAAAAAAAAGCCAGCATGCACTGAAATCTCCAGATCAGGTGTGTGCAGGGAGCCAAACACAGTCGCTTTCCTCTATGCGCAAGAAGACGTTCCTTAAAACAATAATAATAATTTTAAAAAAATAAATAAATAAAAAAAGACAATTCAAACACACAATCAAAAATGCTCAATTCCTCCAAACATCAGAGCACCCCCATCTGTTTTGGACCCCCCAACCACCCCACGCAGCCCACCCGCCTCTTGCCTTCCACTCCTTCATTAAGCTCCTCTCTGCTGAGGCTTTCACGCAGGAAAATACCCTCAACCCCCGACTGTCTCCACACATCCTGCACCACAGCTGGAGCTCGGTGAACCCCGAATCATCACCACCATCATCATCATCATCACCCCAGTCCTCATGCACATCCACGACACATCCCAACTAACCGACGACGAAAATCCGTCACGATCTCGGCAGAAAAGCTCCCCTCTCATCTGAACGTCTAACCGACGCAGCAGCGTCTCCTCCTCCGATCTCCCCCCCACACACATACACGCACACACACACGCACACGCACACACACACACACACACACACACACACACACACACACACACACACACACACACACACACACACACACACACACACACACACGCTTCCCGCTACATTCCCCTTTCTGCTGCCGGACGACGCCGCGCCGCTCGTGCCGCAGTTCGCCGAATCTCACAGCGGCGGAGGATCAAACTTGTGCTGCTCTGACAGACTCACCGGCTCATCCACACCCCCTGTGAAACAAAGACTGCTGCTCTCAATGTCAGCCGCAGCTCTCCCCGGAACGATTATATAGGGTATATATAATCGTTCTATATAAAAAAATAATAGAAGGAAAAAGAAGTAGGCGGCAGAAACGAATAACACCCCCCCCCCCCCCCACCCCGCTCGTCCTCCTCTCCAGCTGTGAGGACTGACCATCCTTTAGTTGGTCTCCAAGGTGCTGCACGGCGAGCGTTGCACTAAATCCAACAGCGTGTTCAGCGGGAGAGGACGTAGTAAGATCCGGAATCCACTGCGCACTGAGCAGAACTGGGCGAGAGAGCAGGAACAGCAGGAGGATGAGGAGAGGGAGAGGAGGAGGAGGAGGAGAGGGAGAGGAGGAGGAGGAGGAAGAGGAGGAGGATGGATGGATGGAGAGAGGGTGAGAGGAAGAGAAGAAGAGAGAGAGGAGTCAACAGAGACATGAAGAAAAGAGTGAAGCCGTCTTTTGAAATGAACGCGCTCATCTGACTCGCCTTTATGTTCTTTGACTGCATTACGCACTTTATTAGCGCGGCCCTGACGGAGCCAAACGTGTTCTCCTGAAAGTTTCACCAGACAGATGAAGGTTTCACAAATCCCACACCTGGTTATGAACAGTCTGCTATCAGCTGAGAATGTCCTAGTCCAGGTTCGGGCAGTCTAGGTGATGGAATCGCCCTTTAGCCGAATTGGAAAACCAACTTCAGCTTCAACCAAGCAGCAGGGGCCAACATGCTGATTCTCGTCAGCGTTTTCAGTATTTAACAGCGACGTGTGCGCGCGCGCGCGTGTGTGTGTGTGTGTGTGTGCGTGTGTGTGTGTTCAAACTGTGTGATTAAACTTTAGTGACTTGACATTGGGAACTGACCCAGTCTTATTTCTGCTGTCATCGTGCTATTTAATGATCAAGGGTCCAGTAAGTGTCAAACCTAAGGTATTGTGACGTTTCCATAGCGATTAAACAAAACTCTTGGCCTAAAGTGGTTAATTAAGCTCCACTCAAACAAGCTGGTGAAATAAACTCAAACAATTTGATTTCTAAAAGGCTACAGTCATCTCTGGGTTTTTTTGTTTCATGGCCTAAGTAGGACACGCAGCTGAAAACTGCTGCTTTTGTTGTCGGTGGTCTAGATTAGATTGCAGGAGGCGAAAATATGTCACACAGAACCTCTGTGCGTCTCCTTCAGCTGCTCTCTGCATTTTCTCTCCCTAACCCCCCAAAAAATGTGGATCGGATCCCTTTCCCAGAATGCCGCAGAAAGGCGGGAAAGTGGCGCCAAAAGTGGACACGTCTCGAAGCAGAGCGCTCCGAAACGAGTCAGCACCGCAACGAGTCAGCACCGCAACGAGTCAGAACCGCAAAGGCAAACGGCAAAAAAGGGGGGAAAAAAGCAAAATAACGTTCGCTCTTCTGTTTTCACAGGAACGCCGTGGATGGGAATAAAAAGCTGTACGCCATTTACGACACGAGGTAAGGGAACTCCTCGCCCTCCAACAAGATCAACCTCTTAACCCCGCTTCTTTAAGGTTTGTGAAAATAGCGCCCCCTTCATTTCCGGAATGCAATAGTCCCATTTCCAAATAAGGTATGGAACTGACAGTGGTCCCACCCGCCCCTTTCTGTTTGCTACAGAAGTCCTTCTCTCTGAAGGGAAGCAACAGTTGGATGCTTTTTTTTTTCACAAATGTTTAGTGAAATCGTTGATGAAAACTTGTGCTGATCTCTTTGCACAAATAAAGAGAAATCGTTTCTGAGGGTCCGGTACATTCCAGTTCCGTGCCGCATTATTGAACCTCCTTCTCTCTTTCTCTCTCAACCGCAAACGCATTAGCAAGCTGACAAAAAAAAAAAAAAGCTTAAAAACATTCTCAGGAAATCCTCACAAGTAACTGTAACCACTTGGCTGTTCGTTTTCCTTTGCTCCTCCACCTCATCCCTGAGCTGCTAATGCCCTCCGAAGAAACCCAACCAAAAACAACCAATCAGAGCCAGGACTGGCTTACTGCTGCCAATCATCCTCATGTACTCACTGGGGAAACAACTTATCGTTACACAAAAATCGTTTATCGATGGCTATGCTAGCTAGCCTTAGCATTCACGACATGCTCTGCTAGCTGCAGCGTAGCTTAGAGGAAATGGGGGGAAGTGAGCAACCACAGGAAATGGGGGGAAGTGAGCAACCACATGAGGGTGATTGTCAGCGCTGAGACCCGCCTCTTGTCTCTGCTTGGTTGTTCCTAGTTAGCAGTGAGAGAAGGCAGAAAAGCTTGATTTTTTTCTTCTTTTTTTCAGATTAGCCTGTTTGTCTCCTACTGTACTGTCAGAGCATAGTGACTGTTTCTAAAAAAACATATTTGCATTAGTCAAAATTGTTTCTACGGATGCAAATGAGTAGAAATTTGGAGAAATCTGGAGCCAGAGCAACCCACACATTGAACTGTGCATAAGTCCTGAAAGAGTTGATGCACTTTCACTTCTCTGCTATGGCAGAGAAGTGAAACTGCACAAGAACTTCCACTGGCTTGTGCAAACTGCACAAGAACTTCCACTGGCTTTCCACAGCGTGCTACCATCGAGGCAGATTTGTGGAGTGCGTCACTCATAGTTGTAGAGACGTGCATCCATAAATAAATGAATAAATAAATAAAATGCAGATGAAGTTGAAGCAAAGTGCGGTTCTACAAAGTTTTGACCGCAGAACGGCAAACGTGCAAATGCACAGCGCAAGATTTTCTTTGCGGAACATTTTGAATGCGCATCACTTTCCTTCCGTCATCTCTCACATCATCTCCAGTGAAACACGCTGCAGTGTGTGGCTGGAATGGGACAAAATATTACAAGGTGCGAATTACTTTTGCAAACAGAAGCACGCGCACATCAAGACTCAATTAGAGCATTTTGAACGCCAACGTTGAACAGCAGACCAAAAAAAAAAAAAAAAACTCCCCGCGGTTGGAGCGCAAAGTGCTCGGTCGCTGCCTCCACCCAGGATGACGCTGGGAGCGCGGAGCGGCCGCCGCGGGGCGGCTGTCTGCGGCTCCGCCGTCCACTCACTCCGGAGCGGATCATCCAGGTTGTCAGACTTGACACAGAGGCGCAAGTGATGCGGAGCGGCTCCCGCGGCAGCCCGAGTTTCTCTCGCGCCTCCGTTCGGTTGTTAAATAGCCAAACGCTCAGAGTCCATCAGGCAGGCATGTGGGGGAGCCTGCAGGACGCTGTTTCACTGCCGCTGGTCGCGGCTGTGATGTGTTGCGCCCAGAGGTGAGGGGCTCTGCCGGACGCCACGGCGTTTCTCCGGGAACCGACTGACCGCCGTTTGTGTTGTTTTTCAGCGTCAACGAGCCGGGAAACATGTCGTTTGTCAAAGAAACTGTGGACAAACTGTTGAAAGGATATGACATTCGTCTCCGGCCAGACTTTGGAGGTATGACTCAGGATGTTTACTGCTGCTGTTACATTTCCTGTCAGTGTTTCTCCAACTGCTATTTTGAATGTTGACAATAAACAATTGTTTTTCTTCATTTGATTGAATCTTGTTTGCTTTTCGTTGCAGGTCCACCGGTTGCTGTTGGCATGAGCATTGATGTGGCGAGCATAGACATGGTGTCAGAAGTTAATATGGTGAGTTTATGCCTAAACTGTTTGTGCTAAACTTTTCATCAGATTCTGCGACATGGGTTGAGTTGCTGGAACTGAGTTTTAAATGTAAAACCGCCTTTTCTGAGCTTTGCGTCATGTTATCATATTATTTACTCATAAAAAAAAAACGCCTAGAATGTTGCCTTGATTCTTTCACGCATGTTCCAGAAATGGCGAACGTTTAGCTTTGCAAATTGCTTGGGAAAGACTGAGTGCCACCTTGAAGGAGCGAGCTTCTCCTCAGGTGCACTCTGCCTCAGATTTCCCACTCAGCTCCTTCAAACTAGCCAGCAGCAATTAGCAAACTGCACATCTGCTGAGCTCGTTGTAGGAGTAAAATGGCGGTAAAAAAAAAAAAAAAAAAAAGAGAAGTGAAGATGGTGAGTGAAAAGACTCATGTAGGCTCTGGTTTTCAAAGTCTAAAGTAAGCAAACAAATGATCCCCATATCATTACATCGCTGCTATTGATGTAAGCCTAAGGGAGTCCATGTCTTTCCGTTGCTTTTGCCAAAAATCTGATCATACCATCTAAATATCACTGAAGTTTTCACTCATTAAAGCAGGCAATGTTGAACAGTTCGTCATTAGGTTCGGTCAGGCTGCGTGTTCTGTTGATTCTGTGGCCTGCTCTCAACAACGTGAACATCTAGAATTATGATGATTGTAGCTTAACTCGTCGTCGTTGTAAATATGTTTTTGTTGAAAGAATCAAGAGAGCACAAAACTACTGGTATTTTCAGATGTTCTTGAGGCTCTTATTGTGAAGGTTTTCAGGAAGTTCCATCTTGGTTTACCTCCTGTTTTCACATAGTTGACGTTTGACAAAACTAAAAGCGCATTGTTCCGTCCAGCCGAGTTCAAAAGCAGGGCCTCTGCTGCGAAGCTGACAGTCCAAGAAAATTTAGAAACAACTTAAATAAACAAACTTGGTAATTAAAGTGACTGAGAATTAGCTGTCAGGGTGATATGAAGGCAGAGGGTTTGGATTGTGTTGTTGCATGTGGTGAATTTTCAAGAAACTTCTCATGATTTGTCAGACTGAGAATAAACCAGGTGCATTTAACACGTGGTGCAATTTAATGGCTGCTGGATAATTTCTCTTTTTTGGAGCATAGTCTGTAAACCTGAGAAACGGAAAAACCCCTGTAGAGCCGCGGTTTTTGAGACTGATTAAGAACGACTCAAACCTCCTGTTTTCCTCCAAGTTTGAGCCACATTTCTCATTGAATTCTGTCCTGCTGCAATCACAACCCCTGAGCCGCTTGTAGCGAGAGCACTACAAAAGTTTATGAATAATTTAGCAACAATTTACAAGCACCAACTGCATGGCCTGGCAGAAGATGCTAAAACTTGTGCACCACCCGCTGTAAGTGCCAAGAAAATCACCAAGTCCAAGTAGTTAGCACCGCCAAACCTCCTCCACCTCCACTATATGGCCCTCTGGTCTGTTCATTCACTGTAAATGTGGATTATATTGGATTTGCATGACATATCGAATGTCACACAAGCAGCTGAGGTGGACTCAGCAGACGGCAAACATCACAAATGGAAAACCAATGGAAACCTCAAAGAGGAATGTAGATAATTAATAGTTTATGTCCTGAAACCCATCATTAACCTCGTTGCCATTTGCTTCACATTAGCATCCGTCAACGTTTCTGGACCAAGAGACGTATTCTGACATTCAAAGACGAATCCCTTTTCTCTGGCTGAGAAAAAGTTAATTTTTGCATTTTTTTTTTTTATTATATCTATTTTTATATGAACATCATTTAATTTAAGCTTTTTGCTCTTTGGTAAATCGTTGTCGGACTTCATATTTTCAAGCTTCCACAAAACATTGTGGAAATAGAACAATAATAACTTTTATTTTTCTTGCAGGTCAACGCTGTAGATTGCAAATGAAGATGCTACGTTTTAGGTTATAGCCTTTTTCTGATTAAAGGGTACGTAATGCTGTAGACATAATGTCTGGCATTAGGAGGGACAGTGTAGTTGAAGTTGAGATTAGGTCACGTTGCAGTCAAAGTGCTTCATAACCCAATCTGGGAATGGATGACTTCACAGCTGAGTTGAGCAAGTCGGAACATCCGAGGCATTTTATGACAACTTCAATTTGGTGCTGCTGGTTAATATGACAGAGTTTGTTTTCATTCTTATTTTTAATTATTTTTTAAGTGTTTGATGAGAGTTTCGTGATGAGCAGGGAAACGTTACAGTGCTCACTTGCAATAGAAACTGTAACAGAATCGACTCTTCACCGATGATTTATGATTTTTGTGTATTTCCTACACGAGACCAAAGATAATTCATGACAACACTCCAGCAAAATAATGTATTCCTCGTTCATCGTGGGCATATGGTGAAAACGATACGCAGATTTGCATTCGTGTCAATCGTTGACTCGTTTTTTCTGAACATTTTTCACCTTGTATCATAAAAAAAGGAGCTCTTAATTGGATAAAAGTAAACACCACCCCCACTTGTAACTTGGTTCTCGCTGTCCACTGGGCCACGTGGAAGGATGCCGTCTCGTCTGTGGTGATCGGATCAGACTGTCTGTGCTAATGGCTCCGGGCATGCAGATGGGGACCCAGGAAGTGCATTTACCCCTCCAGCACGAGGAACGGTCTCATCTAGAAGATAACACCCCCTCCACCCTCAAATGGCACTTGAGCATGTGTTAAAAACGATCCGGCCCTGTTAGCGATAATGGAGTTGTGTCTTATGACTCGTGAGGCAGCTAAAAATAGCTTCAACATCTTGATGGGCTATACATTATCAAACACACGGGATCACTGACAGCGCTGCTTCAACTCCACCTCAAAGCCTTTATTTTTAATGCCTGCAGCGACTGTATGTATGACTTCACCATAGGTGTGTTTATAAAGTCCGTCAGTCAGAGAGGACTGACTGACAGATCCACCCATCTGCACGCGTGCGGTTAGCAGTAATCACTCCGATGTCGCCAACTGAGTTACTTTGTTGAGAAACGTTTCCGACAAAAGAATAATTAGAATCGGTAGATCAGCAAGCCTGTAACAAAGTTTGCCTGACGATAAATTGTCCCAGGAGTTATCGCGATAAACGATAATACTGTTATTTTGAGACCATTTTCAAGTGATATAATGTCAATGGCAAAATAATACAAGAACACATTCCTGTAGATGAGTAAACCGTAGATTCTGATGAACATTTAACACTGGAAGTGGAGGGCATTTTAAATATCTAAAGTAAAGTTACCAAACAACAGAAGCAACAGATGAAAACAATTATAAAATCTCTGTAAACAAAATTGTTCGTCAAAAAATTAGCTAAGTTGGAGACTTTCATCATCCAGTTTTTGGTAGAAACTGACAGAGAAAAGAAAATGATCAAGTATTCAACCTGAACTTATTGAGCTCATTTTAATTCATGCAATCAATTTGATTTGTTGCTTATAGCAGCAGACACAAAGACCAGGTTTTCTTAAAGGGGAATTGTAAGTAAGATAAACCTTTTTGAGCTTTTCTTCATGTTATAATGTTATTTCCTCGTCTGGAGTGTCGCCTTGACTTTTTCACGCAGGTTTGAGAAATCCTTTCATCTCCCATGGCAACCATTCAGCTGTTGAAATATTGTTAAAGAGTTAGTAGAGGATCGATGTGATGAACTCCTGAAGGTGAAATTTCGGAAAGAGCAGGAGCTTCTTAAAGAGACACACGCCCAATTTCAAGTTGTTGAATCAAAAGCTCAAATTTCTTTGAAGTAATATTATATACATGTGCATCACTTTTATAACAACGCTGAATAACATGGTGACACTTTATTGTGCTACAAAGTGGCACTATATGCCTGGAAGACGCATATTACTGCTCCCTTTAGGACCGTGATTAGCCAGAAACACGACTGCTGCTTCAAGACATCTGACTTTTGATTATGTCCCTTGCTGTCTGATGCGGCTTCTCTGCAAAAGAGTGAACTTCACCGTCTCTTGACCAAACGCAGACAAGCCCCAGTCCAATTCAAACATAGCTTATGCTGCAGAGTTGGGACAACAGCAGATTCAAGACGAACAAGAAAAATAGTCGCCTATACAAGACATTTTGTGATAAAAGTCACTGGCAAGAAACAAGCAACTAGTTGCATGTTTTTATACCATGTATAGCAATTTATCTGTTTTCTATTAAGGTATCAAAGAAAAGAAAAAAACACTTCCAATCTGCAATGTTTGCTACTTATCTCTATTCCTACTTCATATTTACTTTACATAATTGGCAAATAAAGGACAAAAGAAATGGGACAGATACAACTATTTTAGATCTTAACTGCCCTCCCCCCTCCCCCCTCCCCCCGTCCATGAAGCTCCTAATCCAGTAAAGCTCCCAGAGGTGTTTTTTTTACACACCGCCTCGGTATGAGTCAGCTGAAAGACAAGTCCACCATGTGCTGAAACGTCCTCATCCATTTTGACACTTTAACAGAAAGCAACTTTCTGCCTGAAGGAAGCGTTACCCTTAGAAACTACAGATGTTCTCCAGGATTTTAATGGAGGGGCTTCAGTTAATAAGTCAGACACACAAAGCGGTAAAAAGCTGCAGGCTCCAGCTACTCATAAAGTAAGAAGAACTCAGCTGGTGCAGTTCTCTGTGAGCAACATGCAGGGCTTCACACTCCGTTACACAATGCTAAGGTGTGAGCCAGTAGGAACAGAAACCCCCTTAGCTCCACTCTGTCGGGGAGCTTAACGCTGCAGGATGTAAGTTCAACAAAAATATGTCTTTTTTCCATATTTGTTAAAACTCACCATGTCGTGACAGTGTAATATGGGACAGGTAATCTGTGAAAAGATCAAACTCCTCCCCTAGCTGTGCTATTACCATCTGAATAAAAGCACCGCTCTGGGTCAAAAGCAACCAATCAGAGCCAGGAGGAGGGTCTTAGCGCTGTCAATTAATGCTAATGGTGAAAAAACAACTTACCGTTCCAGGAAAACAGTTTT